ATGGGGCATTCACAACTGATCTTCGAGAAACAACCCAGATCTCGTTCAAAGAATTCAAGAATAGAAACTTTAACTTCATTATACGTGTATATCTGATGTAATCTTTATGACACACTAATTTAGTCTATTCGGTGATGACATAATAATTTAATTTCAAAATCGTTAGAAGTAAGTTTAAAGGTATAAAGATTTTTTCACTTAAACGTTTCTTCAACTTACATAATTAAAGTTAGATATCATTTAATTGTTTAAATATATATCTGTATATTTGCATATATGATGGAACCGTTATACACGCAGTTTTCTAAGAAAGTTTTGATGTAGTGTTTTATCCCGGTCCTTCCGTCTATAACACTAACTTCTTACACTCTTCGTACAGTTTAAGCAGTATATATATAAAATCTTTTGTAATATGGTTGGTGGTGTCCTGTACATGTATAATAAGGTTTTTGGGTTTTCATTTTCATCCTAGGTGGTCAATTAGGCTTTGAAAACAAACGTTTTGTCCCCCGCTTTCACTGAAAGTGGGGGATATTAATTTGGGTCTGTCTGTCCGTCCGTCCGTCTGTCCGTCCGTATTTCTGTCTGCCTGTAACACTTTCGTTTCCGCGCGATATCTCAAGAACCCTTTGAGCTTTCGCAATGAAATTTTGCATAGCAACTCCCTATCGCCTAAAGAAGAACTGTTTTGATTTTGAGGTCAAAAGGTCGAACGTCAAGGTCATAACTTCATAAATTCTTTCTGTTTTAACACTTTGGTTTCCGCGCGGTATCTCGCGAATTCTTTGAGCTTTTGTAATGAAATTTTACATGACAACTCCCTGTGGCCTAAGGAAGACCTCTATAGATTTTGAGGTCAAAAGGTCAAAGTTCAAGGTCATAAATTCATAAATTCCGTCTGTGTGTAACACTTTTGTTTCCGGGCCATATCTCAAGAAGCTTTTGAGCTTTTGAAATGAAATTTTATACCATAACTCCCTATAGCCTCTCTCGCACCTCTCGAAGTGTCCCACCCCTAGACAGAAAATGATAAATGTCCTACGGACCCGGTTTAACGATAGAATGCGTTTCGTGTATTGTCAAATTTGAAACGAGTAAAAAACGTTGGTGAAAAAGTGTTGAATTCTTCCATAATATGGATTAAATTTTTTAGATGAAAGGTATTTACAGTCTCAAAAAGGTTTGTTATGATTAATTTGACTGTTATTTTCAATGCAACTTTATTAATTTTCTCCAAAATCGTTTCGGAGCGATTCTGCAATTTTCTGCTACATTACGGGTATATGGGGGGCAATCTAACTGTGGTGAGGGTCATCCCGAGACACAGTTAGATTATTCTAACTATGCACCCCGTTTTTTATTTTATTTATTTATTGTATTAAAAGTCGCTTGGCACTATTTTTAGCACAGGGGCATGTGGAGTGTTATTACGTATAATACAGGTTGTCGGCGGACTTTATATTCTAATTACATATATTAGAACTGTTTAGTAAAGGCTAAATTAGACACCATGTATTGATTAAAATTTTGACAATATCGAACGTGAAAATAAACATTATATGTGACTTAATGTTTGCATTTAATGTGGAGTATATTCAAGTGCCTCTGTGGTCTAGTGGTCTGATGCTCGCTTAGCAAGCGAGAGGCCCGGGTTCAATCTCCGGACGATTCTCTCTTTTTTTTTAAATGTTTTCTTTCTTTTTTTTCTTCCTTTTTTTGGATTTACTAAATGATACTATTCAACATGTGAAATGAAAAAGTTATGATGTCTGGCGTGTACAAACTCATAAAATCATTATTACAGTGTGATAAATATTCTGTATATAGTAAAAAAGAATCTTCTATGTACACGATGTACACATATTAAAGAATAAGCAATCAAATCTTTATATCCATATTGGCTTTTTTTAAATTTGCTTCAGTATACATGTATACATTTAATAATTCTACAAATACAGGGGGGCAGTGTGACCCCCCACCCCCCGAACTGCACATGCTCTTCTTTTTCCCCTAAGCGGGGGACACAAATTCTCTGAATTAGCTTGTTGTACAAAAAATCTGGTTGCCAGAACTCCTCTTACATTTTACACAGTAGTCAAATTACCTTTTGGAAAATGATTGATGATGTCCTGTAGATGTGCAATAAGGTTTTGGCATTTAAATTTTTATACATGAGGCCAACTGGTACCCGGGCTTCATTTCAGACTGGTATTGAATATTAACATAAGAGGCCCGAGGGTCACATGCTCACCTCAGCATTTTATGCTCAATATGATACATATAGATATTTATATATATTTATGTAAATTATAGAATTACTAATGTGGCTTGTTTGTTAGTTTAGTTTAGAGTACATCTAGAGGCAAAGACGGGCGTATCATGTTGTAAATTTTGAATTTACTAGGGGGAGGTAAATGCAAAATTAGTTATCATGTTGTAAATTTTGCATTTACCTCCCCCTAGTAAATTCAAAATTTACAACATGATAGGCGGATATTTCTTTCCTATGGCAGCTTCTGGATAAGTATTGTTATATATCAATTGTGCCGCAAAATGAATGTACACTTAGATACTGAGTGCCGAATCCCCTTGTTCACGCATGCACTAAAGTGGTCTTGAAATATAAAGCTATTTTGAAGGGAAAAAAGTCTTTGAGACACCTGTTCTTTCCGAGTGGCTTATTTCAGACAGGTGTTTTCAATGACTTTATTTCGATGATGTGTGCATGTTTGTAAGGATGTTCGCTTTTACAAACCTGTTGATCTGTGAAACCGAGAGAAAACTGTTTAGAATACGCAAAGTTTATCTGATCACCGTAAAGAATCCTTTTGATCTTAAAACACTGTTATGTAATGCCAACATAAATAACCCGACCACTATAAAGCTTTATCCATTTCTATTTTGCTGAATAAGTAGCTACATGGTTTATCTTGTTTGGTATATTTGTTTAAAACTCGTGTTAACCTTCAATTAAACAAGTTATTTTTTTAATTCAAATTTATTTAGAACTTTTCAGAACATCTAAATTACTTGCCAAAGATGACACGACTGAAACTACAAAAAAGTAAATTATGCTGAGTTGTCCATTTGCTCGTAATTTCTTATTCTCTCTTTAATCACGAAGAAATTTTGCTATACTCCTCTCCAAACATATAAACAAAGTTAGAAAGGGGAAACTTTGGCACAAATTTGGAACACCCACCCCGAAGGACCATGTGTTCCATTGTTTTTATTTGATTTTTCTCACTTTTGTTTCACGGTTCGTTTAAATCTTGATGATCCGTCGTTTGACTGTTCGGCGTGACTAGAGGTTTTATCTGGGTCTTCACCCTTTGTCTTCATGTATCTTTTGGCAGACTCCCATTCCTTATTAACGAAAATGTTCGTCGTCAAAACAAATCTCCAGATTGCAGTACGCTCTGGTTGTTTGTGTGGATATCGACAAAATACAATACAGAAGCACTGGTCTTAATGAATTTGTAACCTACCGTATCGGAACCGATCACGAGCTTTGCTGATGGACAAGCAGAGTAATTTCCCCCCATAATTTCAAGTGGCTTAAACGTTACTGTAATCATACTTTCCGTTGTCTTTGGTTCGCATTGGCAGCTTTCGTACATTCATATTTTTACCAAAAAAATTGTTCAATTTACTCTCTAATTAGTATTTAGAACATACGCCCATCAGAATTAAAAAATGAAATTTGCAACCTTTCTTCCTATTTAGTGTTTGCCATTTCTTTGGCGAGGAAAATACTTAATTTATTTGTGGTGCATGTGTTCCTGGTTTCTTTCGTTGGAAGGAAAATCACCGTGTTGGAATTCGGTTTATTTTGGCCAAGTGTTCTTTAAACAAATTAATGTAACAGGTGATATGTTGTTTAGAGGCAAAGTCTTCTTAAGTTACTAAGTAACATTTTTAACAATTTTATTCCTTATAGAATTAATTTCTGTCTCGCATACCAAGGGGTTGTGTTTAGAATTTTTGTATTTTTGTGGTACTCGTACTAAAATAATCCCATAGTAACTAGCTAATTTCATAATCAGAATAACCACCATAGTTTATTTCATGAATCTTTGAATCATCAACTTTTAGAATCGACCTTTTTACCAGGTCTAGCTAGAAAGTGTTAAAAATTGCTTAAATTGGTGGAATTAATAAGATTCATTCCGCGGAATTCATCAAAATCAATTTAGAGTTGGTTCTTTCACAATATCCATTCAACCTTTTCAATGAATGACGACCGGGAGATTTAGAAATCGAGTTTCATCAGTGTTCATCCGTCTGGTATAATAGTACCGTAGTATTCTAGATCTCGCTCCTTTATTGTAAAATTGTCAATCTTGACCTTTATGAAATATTGAGTTGAAGGCTATTTGCATTATACATGTATATGTTCCAGATTCTGTATTTTGCCCATCGTCTCATACAAGATTCGTTCATTCTAGTAAATATTAATGAAACATATTCAACCAATGAAATAATGAACTGACGCTTTTAACCAGAAACCTCTGACCAATGAAATTTTTTGTTCTATCCTTTACTTAGATATAACGTTAACTAAGAGTGTTCCAATTTTAAAGCATCAGTTTTTATTCGATTTCCCCCTTTCAAATGAGTGACCTACATGTATTTAATTTATGGAACAAGATCTGTATGGAAAAACCCTGTCTTTTAATGTTAAGTTTTACAAGTATTTTAAAATATTTAACTCGCCTCTGTTCTTCAGGATCTGCAGTATTTTTATCGATAATTTCTGCCATGCACAGCGATCACTATTTCATTATGGGGGCCGCCATATAATCGAAATTGTTACAAAGTGATTTATAATTCATTGGCCAAGATAAAGCTGATGTCACCTCATAAATATTCAGTAATTCATTCTCTCAACATACACTCTCTTTACATCTGTAGGTAAATATACTTAAATAACTACTCCATATCTTTAAGAATCTCTTCTTTGTAACATTATTAACATATATCGTTAATCTTATTTTCAGAGACAATATGGAGGACAGATATTGACTTCCTGTATTCAGACGTCAGATCATTAAACAGTGATTTCCTAGCAAAAAATATTAGCGCTGTGGGATTGACCAACTTCACGGGTTATTCTCCAGTAATTGCTTACATCACTCCGAATTTCCTCAATTTTGTGTTCGCGTTTGTGGCGTTCGCAATTCGCTATTCTGCAGTTTTCTGGTATACAAATAAAACTCTCTCCTTTATTTTCGCCACTGAACTTCTTTTCATGACCTTTGACTCAATTTTTATGTATTCGGGATTTTCTATTTTGTACAAATTAAGTTCATCATTAAACCGATACGAACACCCTCTTGACCTTATTTTGAATTCAAATGGCATTCTGGGATTGTACATTGTGAGTGGTTTCGTTGTGTTTTTCTCTTCGTATGTTGTGTTTGAATACAGTGCTTATCATTTCATGGAAAAGTTCAGAAAAGTGGATAGAAAACATAATCCAGATAATTACAAAAATGAATCTGTCATTTCAAAAGGAACTTGTAATGGATATTTTTCACATTCGAGTGCTGTTGTGATTTTTATTTTACTGGCGGTCTTCCGCGGTCCTATTTATTACGACGTTATAGCAGTTTACCGTCTGACGTCAGACGGGTGCCTTTTGGCGTGCCTAGTGGTGGGTGTCTGTTACTTAGTTACGTGGATTTTCTTGTGGACTTTGTTAACTATCAAGCAGGAATGGATGTTCCGAATTCTTGATTACGCCAATGTTGGTCAGCCAATATTTGTGATTAAAAGCGATCGACTTTCAAAAACGAACTCAATCTCGATAGGCTCTGTCGAACTGAAAGACATGAGTCTAGACAGAAGACGAGGACCCGGGTCCGTACCGAGTATTGATATAACGCCAAGTGAAAGTGGATTTGATGAATGTGAAATGGGACTATCGTCGGAGGATGATCGCTATGGAACAGCATTGTCTCCAGTGCATGAAGACAGTATTGAAAATGTCTTCCCTAATGACGTCATAGTGCGGAGAAATCGACACAGACGAAGTGGACCGCGATGTGTCACATTCCACGACCCAGTGCGTCATTCCCTTGGAAGTCTGTGTGAAAAAGACCCTGAGCGGAGTCGTTCACCAGTTCAGGGCGATAACAAAGTTAATGTGGTAGCTGATGTTCACAGACTCGGGCCTCGGTCTCAGTATCAGAGACGAAGCTCGGATCCGGAAATGAAACAAGTCTCCAAAAGACGCCATAATAACATAATGTTAGCTGCCATGAGAAACAACACGTTAAATTCTGAAAGTAAAACTAGTGCGGACTATTTGACAAATATTAATGACTTGTCTACTAGTTCAGATGATGTGAGAAGTAATCTATCAGAACCTCTTTTAAGTCAGCCAATGAGATCTTCCGAAAGTCGTAGGTGCGCTAGTCCGATTGGTAATAAAGGGCCATCTAGTGACATGTCTCCTTACAAACCGTCAAATATAGTAACAGCGGAAGAACTCACTTCGCCTAAAAGATTATCACAGAGTAATGAAACGTCAATGGACACGTCGCTATCACTAACGGAGAGCGGGATTGCGCAGTCTAATGTAACGGATATAACAACAGTGTTGTCGGAAGACGAATATGAAAATTTTAAAGGTGCTAAGCAACCCGATATAGTGCCAAATCAGCATTCTGGGTCACCTCACAGAATTTACCCGAAACCTCAGAATTTCATATCGAACACGAAGGGAGTGTCGAGACGCGATTCAGCTAACTACTCAATGACGTCATCACAGGATACGTCTTCCAATGATTCTGACCCCGTGCGACAGCCTGCTTTGTGCAGCCAAGTATGACATTTTTTCTGCATGGTGGTGTGTGTGTTGTTGTGAGACTCCATAGCTGTGTGATTTAAATAGTACTGTAGTGAAGTAATGCGCGAGCATGTGAAAAATATCCTCATTTTGTTTATTGATTTTTTTTTGTTTATAGATGAATATTACAATAGGTTTTGCATATTTAATATGTAAATAAATGATGACATGAATAATGTAGATTTTATTTTATTTCGAATGATTGAAAAACAAATATGAAACTTTATGTTGTGTGACTTTTGTTTACAAAATGTAAATTTATAAAGAAATTAACAGTATAATTTCCTTTCCACTTTATATGTATATATAATGAAAATAATAATTACTTTTATTTCAGATTTTTTGCGTTTTTGATACGGTTGATTATGAAGATTTGGAGATTTGCGCATGTGTAGCCTAGTTTGGAGTGGTTATCATGCTGCATTATGCATGGAAGTAATAGTTTTCAATATAAAACAAGTTATGAATTGAAAATATGTATAGAACAACAAACTAGTATGTCCTCCCAGATTTTAATATTTTTGGAGTAATAAATCAGAGGGGCAATGCTGATAACCTTATAGTAGAATGAACCAGAGGTTCTTGAAGATAGTAACACCCCCCAGATATACCCCAGGGCTTTTTTGACATTTTTTCTCAAAAATTATCTTTCAGTAACATATTTGTGATATTATCCATACCATCAATTCGAAAAAAAAATTACCTAAAACAAACATTTTATAAAAATTTCTACCCACTACATCGTATAATATATATCGGGGGGGGGGGGGGGGGGTCCTGTCCTCAGGCACCTGTGGAATGAACAAAGTTGGACTTTTGGGTATTTCTGATAAAAGATGAAATGAGGTCAGAAACCTCTTGATCGTTGGAAACTATGCACCGATTGAACTCGGGGAAGTGTACCATACTTTTTCTATGCTAGCACTTTACAGCCCAAGTCACTGTCTGTCTGTTTAATGTGACGTGGGTAAAAAAGAATGTCTCCGCCTACTAAAGGTCCAAACTATCGGGAGAATTGTCATTTTGCTAAACATTTTGATATGGTATATCCAAATCTTAAAATAAAATGGCTCATGATTAAGCGTGTTATAAAGTCTTATGTCCCGCTGAACATAGATTCTTTTCAATAACAAAAACAGAACAAAAGTAAAATAACCAGTTCCAATAATTACTATATATTTCGTGCTTTACCTATAAAGTAATAATCATATTTTAGTGGAAAAAAGGGGGTATGTTGCAGAGGATAAACCACATTTGTTACAAAGAGTACAAACAGTATCAAAATGTATCGGTCTGTAAAAATATAGATATCGAAATGATCATACAGAGGTTGGGTAAAATGCAATGGTTACTGTATATAATTCGACTTTCGTTTAATAAAAATCCCTCGAAATCCTAATTAAAGAATTTGTTCTTGTGATCGCAGATTCCGACGGTTAGTTAGCAATTTTTTTTCCGGGATATTGAGAATACTACTTCTGCATCAAAGCATACTAGGTTTTCAGTGCGATTAGAAAACTTGCCGATGGATGAGAACCGCAAAATGAGAGACTGTTTAACCACTAGGCTGATAGCATCACAGAGCTGACATTTTATGCTGCATTGAGTTACACCAAGAGCAAGCTGGAAGACTGTAATTGGTCTTTAATCAAAGAGTCGTAACCTAGATTCAACCATAAAACATAACAAAGCATATTTCTGGAGTAATGTTTTGTGACAAACAAAATTAGATGTAATTTGTATTGACGTGTTCAGTCTAAGTATAATCCGATTTCTTTCATAATTCCAAAGGAACCGGAAATTGATGAACTTGTATTTGACATAATAACTCGGGACATTTTTTTTTTGTTACGCCATCCTTGTTATGTCTGAAGTCTGCTTGAGATTGTGGTATTATGACAGTGATGGATATATTGATATGATAGTAATTTGTTCCTGTTTATTGTAAGCCAAACAATTAAATATAAAGAATGACATCGTCTGGAAGAAAGTCGTATTTTCGGAGACTTGACATTTTTTGGTGATCGACAATTATTTCTGTAAATCTGACTCATGACTATACTGGTAATCGTAACTTGTGTCAAATTTTCTTATAGTTATTATTATATTGTAATTGATTGGAGAGTGTGTGCCAGGACTTTTCATATTTAGCCTAATCCGACACTTGGGGATACTTATGTTGGGGAGAGAATTAGGATCCAATTTATTACTTTGGTCACACTAACTCCTCCTTTGTTAACTGACAGTTTCAATTTAGTAGAAAAGATGTTGATCTGTTACATTGTCTGTTTCTTATATTTAATTCAACAACCAGTTTAAAAACCGTGGAGCGGATCAAGGATTTCCATGGGGGAAGAGTGCAGAGTTTTGTTTTGTTTTGTTTTTTGATTAGCAAAAAATAGAAGAAATACATATAAACAAAACCCCAAATAAACAATTAAAAGGATAAAAAGGTATACATTTTATTATCGCTTATTTTGATGGATGTGAATTAAATACTGGATCAAAGTTCATAACTTTTTATATCTGTATATATTACGGATTACACACAATCTGGTGCACATAAAACTTTGGAGATATTTTAAGACAGGTGCCCCCCCCCCCTTTAAAAATAATCCCCCAATGCATTAATCATAACGCAAGGAATATGGTGCATATAAAGGATTAAAAATTTAGTGTACAAATATGTATCCCCCCATGAAAATAAAATAAACTCGTTTGCAAATAAATGGACAGCAATGGATATATATATATTAATTCAGTTCTCTTTTCTATTAGTCCAACGGAGAATGTTACTGACTTTTTAGTTGATTTGCCGGTTTGTTTGAATCTTGGCATATTAACGGAAGAAGTTGACGAAAAATTGGCAACATGTGTGATATGATACATTTGAATAGTCAGATACCGTTGCGAGTTGAATCTCTCATTTCTAATGAAATATTTTAGTAATTGTTTGCTGTTCATGTGTTCTGTTTGTTTTATTATTTGTTTGTTTGTTTGTTTGTGTCTTAATTGCTGTGTTGTAGCTTGTAGTGTTCGATATTATATGAAAAATAAAGTGTAAAGATATAGAGTAAAAGATTGAGAGTGTGTCATGCACTTTTTAAAGAGAGACAAGAATACCTTTCGTGCAAAACTGAGAAAAAATGTTTAAATCCACATTCAAAAATCGTGATAAATATTAAGGCAAAGATTCATAGCAACCAAACCCTTACCCCCCCCCCCCCCCCCCCCACACACACACACACCCACACCCACACACACCACAAACAGAATAATATACACACACCCATGCACCATACTGTATAGTAATATATTGACATCTAACATGTTTTTTTTTAACAGCATGAATTATTCAATTAGAATCAGTCTGATTTTCCTAAGTCCTGCTATGTGTGTATCGATTAGTGAACGCTGTGTATTATACTTGAGAATGACCATTCTTCGTTTTTATTATTTTTCCAGGCTTCAAAACCATCGGGATCATGACAGGAAACACGAAAAAGAATATATTGTTAATATCCAGTGAAGATTGAGAGAAGAAGCAAAGATACCTACAAATAATTATACCTCAAAAATATTACTGGTATCGTGACATACTATATAATCCTCATTCAATATCAGGGTAAAATATTGACTATAGTCTTAAATAGAGTATCCTTTGATATCTTAAGAGCTTATCAGTGTTGTAGGCGTTTTGTCCTTCCAGATGGACGTCAATTTCAATTTTATTTATCCTCAAAATCGTAAAAATCTTCAGACGAGGTGTTAACGCTTGCTCACCATTCTTCATAAGTGACCATTGAGTTTAAATCTTGATTCTTTAGCTGGAAATTTTACTGAAAATAAAATAGGTAGATTGTTAAAGTTAGTTTTAAATTTTATGAATTCTAAAACTTTAATGTAACATGTATAAATGGGGAAGAGGTTAAGTTTTAAAATCATTGTTTAAATTTGTAAATTATATTCACTGAACTACACGCAATTTATGAAGTTTTTTTAATAGCCTGTACATACCGTACATTGTAAGACAAACAATTTGAATACATTTGATACAAAAGTATATTTTCTTTAAATGAAACATTATGTATCTTAATCTCAGTTTTCTTTTCTCTGTTTGGTTTCTAATTTTCTCATTTTTTTTCTATTCTCGGTTTTATGATTATTGTTATTTAAAAATTAAACTTTTTGAAATAGAAAAATCCATGTAAATTAATTTCAAACTGGATTTTTAATTCAATATATTATGAAATATTGATGCGTCTGTAAGATGTACAAGTACATGTATATGGCGTTGTCGAATCTGTGAAGAATTTTCAATTATTATATTTCTAAAATAATCAATAAATAGAGTAAAAATACTTCTGTGTGGTTTGTTATTTTCATGATGACGATGTGTGCTGTTTGAAATAAAGAGACGTTTCGGAAATTCTTTAATTTTTGTGTATGAAAGAAGTTCACTCAATTTTCATCTCAGACGTGCCATTTTAATTAGGAGACATCAGTTAATCACTCCGTCTATCTTATGTTCTTATTAATGCTCTAGGTGTCAATTACCATTAGCAAAATGTCATTGACTAAATATACACAAAGGGGAAAAATCGTAAGAAGACTGTAATAAGACACTTTCCAAATGCCACGCACTGTATTCTGTATATGTACATATGTAGAAATACATACATATATGTTCATATGTAGAATTCAACTACATTAATTAAAAGAAGTTTTAAATGATTTTATACTAATGTCCAATTAAAGCAAAAGTTTGCTTTTTGCAAATTTTTTTTTTTTTACATACTTCCCAATCTTTCAATCATATTTTCTAAGTCGTTTTTTTTTCTAGAGCTATAATTAAATAAAATGTGAGGCATTTGTGATGATATTTTAAATGCTATAAATGTACCATTCAGAATTTTTTTTTTTTGTTCTTTTTGGTCAAATATGACATTTGTTTATCAATTCATCAATGACTAGGATATTTTAAGCATTTTAAGCCTGATGTCCAATCTATTCAGTTTACTGAATAAACACTGTTTATAACACTCTGGTATCTTTAGATTTTGAAATATATATAAACCTCCTCAACTATAGTTTCAATTATTAAAAACAACATTTATGCACAATATCTATAATACATGTTACCTATATTGTCAATTTCATATCCAAACACGAAGGAGTTCTTGGAGAATGTTCGACAACTCAAACAGAAATAATGCATGCTTCAACACGTGGAATTCGTTTCAAGAAAGCTCCCCCCCCCCCCCCCTGTATTTTAACACCTATAATTTCCTTTTTTAGTAACAAATTTGAATATTATACAGATAATATAATTCATTTCCTTTCTACATGTTCCTTATGCTTATTCATATAATTACTGTATTTTAATAAATGCCAAGACTTCTTTCAATAACACATTTTTCTCTTCGGATATATGCGGATAATTGTACTTGTATAAAATAAATGAAAGAAAGAGAAATAGAATATGGCCATTCAACAATTCATTCAAGATTTTCATAAAATATTTATTCACATTTGGCACATAAAACACGTTTGTGTTAAGCAAACATCACACACAAGTTCTCTCAACAGGAATGTTCAGAAATAAATAATGACAATTTTGAATGTTCAAACACCACTCTTCTCCTGCCCTGGTGCGATCTGTCCTAGTTTTGGTGACGGAAGGTTCGGCGAGAAGCTCATGTATGGAACCGGATGTGGATAGGACTGTCTCTGTAAGTAGGCGGGGCTGATAGGAAATGACGCATGGTGAGGAAGCACTGGTGGAAAATGTCCAGGAGATGACGTCATAGGATACTGAGGAGAATGATGTGTAAATCCCGGAAGTTGTCCGAAGTTGGTGGCACTCATGTTGTAGGGTGGTGGGCAGGGCAGCCCAAGAGCGGTCAATTGGGAGACATCCACGCCACCTGTCGGTAGACTAAAGGTTCGTGCATGCTCGTCGTCCCGCTTCTGTCTCTTTTCTTTCATGCGTCTGTTCTGGAACCAAGTCTTCACCTGGAAAACATAATCAAAAATATTAATACTGAAATCATAGTACTTATTGTAAAAACCTCATTAGATGTAGAAAAAATAAATCAAGAATATAAATTTCAATTTTGTATTTTTTTCTTTTTTATTATTTTTATTTATATATTTATTTCATTTTTTCTAATTTTTTTAATTTTATTTTTATTTTTTGGAAAGGAAAATTTTAAATTTTTGAATTCAATAAGTTAAAAGTTAATCAAAATAATCGAATTCTTTCATTACAATAGAATACATTACCTGTTGGTCGGAGAGGCCAAGTTTCTCTGCTAAGGCTTGGCGTTCGTTAGCCGGCAGGTACTTCTGAGATTGGTATCTCTTTTCCAGGTCGTTTATCTGTTCTGTTGAAAATGCTGTGCGGGCTTTTTTCCTCTTGTGCAGATCGTCACTATCATCAAGATCTGAATAAAATACATTTAAATATTTAATAATGTACATATTTATTTAAGAAAAATATTATCAATGTTGAAATTAATTAAAAAAAAATTATTTCATATTGGATAACCCCCAATATACACAGTATTATTTCAGTCCAATGTAAATCTCCAATTTTATTTACCTGAAATAAACGAACAGTTGCTGGAAGAGTTGCTGGCCTCGCTGACATGGCGAAATCGATCTGGGGAGGGGCTCTCAACTCCAGAGTCACACGAATCCTCTCTTTTTCTCTTCACAGATGAATTTGTCGGCGAGATCAAAGGTAGTTTGAGAGGATATCCATTTCCTAGGGTAGAATGTGGTGACACAGTTTTAGTATTTGTAAACCTCTCTGGAGTTAGAAAGGGTGAACCACTTAAGTCGAGTCTGTTTACAGGATGTGTAACAACATCTGCAGCCAACTTTGGTGACACAGTATGTTGAGCTTTTCCCTCGTCCTTTTCCTCATCATGACTGCTCCTAGCCAGAAACTCAATCGAAAACGAAGCCTTCTTTGGTTTGGAATCAGAGAGCATTGTTCGATTTAAATTTCTTGTATTTCCCAAATATATTAGATCCAAGTGTGCTATTCAATGTTAACTCAGGGAATGTCAAGGAACGAATGTTCAGGACAAGGTCTGAGAGGTTATTAAATACGAGGGATTTTAATTTGTTTAATTACTTCCGTAACTTCGTTCATCCCCCAATTGACACTTAATCCCATTGTTAATCTTCAATACTGTCTTAATGAGTGGAAAGTATCACCCTTTGTTTAATTTGGCTTGGCTAAAAGCTGCTTAAACAAACACAAGCCGTGTTTGTCCTATAATGGATAATTACCACGGCCCGTTGATTTTGGCCTTTTTTCTGCAATTGACGGTGATTAAGCTAATTTTGCAACACTGTTGTTGTGTAAACAACTTACTAATCGGTGATACAATGGGTTCACACATCTCGTCTTCGAGTCCGTTTGAAGTAGCTGATCACGGATTGTAAAGCAAGCCACAAGATTTTAATTATAACTGCTCTATACAATAGATATAATTTACAGGTTTTGCACCATTAGAACAAAATTATCACATATATTCTTAAATCCATAACAAATTTGTCAAATCTTGTAAAAACTACATTCATCGATGTATATACAATCAATTTCGTATCTGCGAGACATGGAAATGAAGAACCCAGTCTAATTCAATTTTATAATAATTTTAGATGTTAACAGAAATTCAATTAATTTTAAGTAAACAAATTTTCTTTTTTAAAGAAAGAGTCATCCAGCGGGCGCTTCTTGCCTTCTTATTTTCAAATAAATGATATTTAATTTTGTTTGATTTTTTACTATTTGAAGTTACGTATACAGTGTAACGTTTATTAAACATGATAAGTTCATAATTATATTTCATATGATGGGGAGAATATAATGTTACCAAACGCAATCCTAGCATACTCTTTTCAAATTTAATAAAAATAATTATGTTTATTTTATTTATTTATTTATTTTTATCTAATTTTTTTTTCATTTTTTTTTCTTCAAATGAGCATCATATACATGAAGGAGATTATTATCAAAATATAATTTGTTACCAAAGAATTCCTTCTTTTCTGTTTTTTTATTTAATTATGATTATTTTTCGTATTAGTCTTTTTTAATCTATTTTAACATTCTTTTTATATTTTATTCATTAAAAAAAACCCTTTTCTTTAATTAACAGTTCCTCAACATATGTACTCTAAAATTATGAGGTATACAATTAAGTTTGTAGTCTAAACCAATTAAATGACACATTTTTATATATATGCAAAGCTCACTAAATATTTTTTATGTTATATTTCTATATGTCAATCGAAAGGAAGACACACACTCTCACACAAAATTATAACAATGATCGTTTGCATGATCATGCTATATATTCAGAAAAAATAAACCTTTCATGCATATCTATCTATATTGATTTTTTGGTTGTTTTTTTTTTAAATTAAATTAATCAATTAATTTTTATTTGTTAAGTTTGTTTTTCATTGTAATTGATTTTTTAAAGTTAGTATGGAGGTATATTTCAATAAATCTCTGAATTATAATTATGCTTTAAAGAAACACTAATTAAAATTCATTTAACTATTTCCCCAAATGTCTTGATACCTTGTTTATCGGATGATAAATTCTTTAATGAGTTTAAAATTACACCTGATTTAACACCCAACAAGATTATTGAACATCAAAGAGGCTAAGCCAATTGTGTTAATGTCTTTACACGGACATAACAATCGTGTCAATTAGTTGCTAATCATATGTCAATTATTCCACAAAAATGTCTCACCTTTCACCTTAATAAAGTGATAGAACAGCTTTTAAAAAAAACCTAAAACCAACAGCACGTAAACTTGAAAATAAATAAGATGTCGCGCAACAATTCAACACATAGAATGCCAGATAAAGGGGGATAATCTTTAACAAAGGGGAGACAATTCGTCTAAACCTGATAGGATCCTGTTTATTGACTTAGTTGTGAAAATATTAAATCACATTAGTCAATAAACTTGAGTAAAACCTCGTATGCTACTTTTTTGACCCGCGAGTAGAAGTGTGAGAAACAAACAGTAGGTGTATTATTGTAGTACAAACACGATCAAGTGACATCAGTTGTTTCATTGTTGACTCTGATTACCGTGGCCAGCTTGAGAATGTTGGTTTGTGTGTGTGGGGGGGGGGGGGGGGCATGCCTTAATCACTGTAATTCTTTTTCTCTAATAACGACACTCTTTATTTGTCAAAAATATTCTCATTAAAAATGAAACAAGATTTTTCCCCAACCTTACTGAGTTACGATGATCTTAAGAAAGATTTCAGTGGTCCGATGGCAATAATTATAGACTCCCGAAAAATAATAATGATTGCCTTTGATTGCCATTTGATCAGGGTTTATGTTATTTATACAACTAGCACTACACAGAAAAGATCTACATTTGGCTCATGAAAGAATGTAATAATTTTCCCCTCCAATTCCATTTCCAGTTAATAGTCGAGTTATCCCCCCTTTGATATCAACTTTTTTTTTGGGGGGGGGGGGGGGGGGTTGACAGATTTTTGTCTGAGACCAAATCCACGTTCAGACTAGGGCCACTAATACACGATTGAAGGAACACGGACAAATGCTCCGAGATCAACTTTGCATTTTTAAAATAATTCGCCAGTGTTCAAACTTACAGCAACAAAAAGAGAGGGGGAGGGGGGCAACCAGTATCTAAATGAAAATTTACAATAGCAAAACACTATACTCATCAAAAATTGGGGACCGCCCCCTGCCCCCCCCCCCCCTTTGTTCTACGGAACTTCTTCGGATTATTATAAGTAATATTACAAATATACAATATGCATGAAAAATGTAAGAAGAAAAAATTATAAGAATATTAAGAAAATTTGTCCATCTGAGCTATATTGATCAGCGGTAGTAAATTAGTGATTATATATTTAATATTGAGTGACACCTTTACAAAGAGTCCATGAGACATCCAAAGATCATCATACTTGATATGAGCAGCTCCTTTTTATTATTTATTATTAATTTTTTTTATTATTTCATCCCGGTTGAGCCCTGGTATATCAAGAAAAAATGAAGAATATTGTTTTTTCCCCTCTCTTCTTAATTTTTTTTTTCAGACTTTTTTTTCAGGGCACTCCCATGCTTTATTTTCCACTTTCGTATGGAATATTGCAATGTACCCAGCACGACTCGATGTTCCCTATCTCGAGCTCGGTTAATTAATTTTTTTCTTCAAAAAATACCGATTATAGAAATACGCATGTGTTTCGTGTAAATCCAAGTTTTTGAGGATTGTTAAAGGACTTTGGAGGGAAAGATTAAACATGTCGGTAGTATGCAGCTAAATTAAAATACACAAACAGTAAACAAATATTAATTCAAATAATATTTTAACCTCAAAATCTGATGATAAATTGATAAAACTCAGACCATCGCCATTGTTGTTTTTACTTTCATATCACAAGTGTAATTGTAGACTTAGTGTGAACTACATGTATGTTGTATACGATCTTCTCCCTGCTATTTTCAGTAGGATTTTCTTCAGCATTTCAATTAGGGAATCGAGATTTATGTACATTGCAGTTTTGGTGAGTACGTTTAGGTTGTCGACAACATGTTTATAATGAATCTGTTGCTTTTTAAATTTAATAAATTCAGGACTCTACAAAAGAGAGCATTCTTCAAATCAAACAGGATCTCATGTTCTTTAATTGTTTTTACATATACTGTAAAGTTTTTGACAAAATAAATTTTTTATCAATCCTCATATGTAACAAGTGCTTCATATTGGGAAAAAAAACAAAGATCTTTCGAGAGAAAAAAAAATCACGCAAACAATTTATTCTGCATTTAGATTGAATTCCTTATGTACTACGTAAAATAATATAAAACTTTATGTCCATGTTACATTAATTTTTCCAGGCGCATTAACAATCCTCTGACTCAGGATGTACAAACACAGAATACGACTTGTTCATCAGGTAGTATAATATGGCAATATCCGGAGGGACGTATTCGAGTACATTTCCCGAACGTCCCAGATCAACTCTGCATCACACGTGGTATAGCTGCCGACGATGACATCATTACAAATGTTTACTACGAAGACGGAGAACAAGCCCACGACCTTCAGTTCAACGCCGGTTAGTACACCCCACTTCTTTTCTAAACTAATAGGAATAAGCCGGGGGAGGGGATTGTGTCCAACATTGAAAAGTCGGGGGTACAAATGCATTTTGGGTCAGAAAAGTGCATACATAAAAAATGTAGGAAATTTGTATGTAATGGCCTTTTTTAACCTGTGAGTGTCAAAGGCTTTCACCACTAAACACCCCCCCCTACCCCTCCCGCCACAATACGTTGTATTTCCATTAGTGAACTCTTCAGAATTAGAGGAGCGTTTGGTCGTCTGACTGGGACAGCATGGCATTGCAGATAATACAAAACATGCCAGTATCTAACCAATTTTAAATGTTAAGTGCATTTGTAAATCTAACTAAAGAATAGAAGAACTAAAAGACATATGAAAATGAGCGAAAACCCTAACTTTATCGTCCATAAATAAAAATACGACATTTCCGAGGTATGTGTATTGACTTTAAATGTACCATTACGATAAATAGATACATACGATCACCAATAGATGTAAATTAATATCCTTGTCATCTCTACTCTTGATTTAAATAAAGTTCACAACAATAAAATATTTCATATTCATTTTGTTAGGATTTGTTCATCGACATTCAACGTGTTGTTTACAATTACATGTTTATGTTACGTTTGTCCCAGAAATCCCGCGAGATTTGTACATTCTCCGACTTTTTCACAAAAGAGCGCACTAAGAACTATAACTCTTCAATAGTGGAAATAGAACGTATTTGGTCAAAGTCATGAAACATTTACCTCTTTACTGTAACTTTTGATTCAAGTGACCTTGGAATTTTTTCTCTATCATAACCTTTGTAATGGAGTAATGATGTATCCACATTTATATTTGTAGTATGAGCTTTCTGTTTCTGTCATACAAATTGATTATTCTAACTAAACAAAATTAAGACATATAAAAGGACAAAATTATCACTCTTTTTCTGCCAGTAACTTTGCTCATACATCCATATATTTACACATCCTCACAGTTTGGTAATTTAGCTCTGTACCAAGCACAGCGTTCAGTCTCTCTGTTACAGAGTATGGTCTGGTCTTTACCGCCAGCGACTCTAACTTTCCCCACATAAAAAATAATGTACATTTGCATAACCAGGTTATTGCCCAGATACTGTCAAGTGATGAACAAGACACAAATAGACGATTCCTATGGCCTCATTATACATGTGCATGTACTTTTCTTGTAGACATATTATATGCCATGCACACAAAATAAGCCAGTTATTTCATTTTTTTAAGTGCATTACAGATGGCAGATCATGCTTCAATCCCACTGGTACAGAAACCTCAGTAGTATTTGAGGGGCCCACAAGAATGCGTACATACATGGCATCCTTTGCGTATGAACTGACATCACGAGACCGTGGCTTAGTGGACAGAATGCAGTCAATGTTTAACAACTTCATTCACACAGCAATTCGTCCGTTTGGCAATCTTCTACGAAAATGGAATATCCAGATTAATATTGAACAAATGTAAAATTTCAGTTGGTGGAAGAAACTGTTCTCATAGTTGTAACTGTTAATACTGATGACATGCATTAGAGAAATATGAATCCAAAAACTAAGATTTTATACACTTTTTTTGTATCCTATAAAACATGTACCTATAATTACACATTTTAAAAAATTAAAAAATTACACATATACTGCATATTAAGTTGAACATTCAACGGTTTCTCGAACACTGATATCTCAAATACCATGAATATATTGAAGTGATTTAGAAGTCCCAAACACTCATTCTTTAGGTATTTTACCCTTTATACCTCCAATCCTTAGATATCTTAAACTTTTTTCTCAGTCCTATTGAGTTCAGGTCAGTTCCAACATCTAAAGCAAGTCTAGTAGTGTTCATCCCTAGTTACATCATCCATTCAAGTTTAATCATAAGACCATATACATGTAGTTATAGAGCTACTCCAAAAACATTACCCTGGTCAGTCATCTGGAAAAAGTAGGTCAGATCCAGCATCTGAAGCAAGTCTTAGCAGTGTCCATTCCTAGATGCATCATCCAGGCAAGTTTGGGTCAAATTCAGCTAATATTCACTCATCTGGAAGTTAAAAGTCAGACCCAGCATCTGAAGCAGGATGGGTAGTGCCCATTTCTAGATGCATCATCAATGCAGGTTTGGTCCAAGTAGGGCTTAAAGTTACTTGGGAATGGACCTGCTCCTAAGACTTTAACCTGGACGCCAACACTGGGGTATAGCATAGGCTCATTTCGACTTTGTCAAGGTGAGCTAAGAATGCACAGAGCACCTGCACTCTTGTGATTGTCCAAATGGATAACATTAAATCAATTAAGCAAGAAAAAAAAATACATATCATATATTTTCATCAACATTTTTACTTCATAAGAGTTTGATACACATTTTTAAAAATAAAAATGGTTTCCATTACCAGTTTGAACTAAGCATTATTTCATGGAAGATGACCACCTTGGGAAATAAATATTTTACATGTACATCTTTCATAAAATCACCTGCACCTATGTACAAACTAATAACAGAAAATATTAACAAAGTTCAAACATTTTCTTACATCTCACAAATTTTGGCCAAGTCCAAAGATTATTTTGTAAAGTTGGAAAAGCATAATGTCTCTGAAATAGATATCCAATCTTTGGTACTTCTTGTAATGCTAAAATCCTTTAATGTTAAAATACATGAAACAATTTTCCCTTTAATTCTGTGACAATTTCAATGTCTTCACTCTCAATGAAACTGAAATGTGGTAGTTGCAGAATTGTAGCTCTCTAGGAAATACAATTTGGACAGACATATCAGAAATATGGTATGTCTGTCTGAATTTTCTTTCCCGGAGAGCTACAGTTATGCAGCTAGAAAAGTGGAATTAGTGTCATAGTGACTTGGCTGTAATATCTGAGAGAGTTAACCAAACTTCTGGTCCTTGCCTACATCACGGATATATCCAATGAAAATTCCAGCGTAATGCAACATTCAGAGCAAAAAGAAAAGCAGATAAACTGGTACTGCTTGATGATTTATACAATTATCCGACTTCAACATCTAAAGTAATTTTAAAAGAGAATTCTGCAAATAATATATATTTTTTACATCCACCACATATTTTTTGTCATAAGATTTTCTTCAGTCAATTTAATTGGCATAATTTAAAAAAAAATCTTTTGAGGACAGTCTTGAAGCCTGTGATGTGCAATAATAATAATTTTTGAGGTCTGTCAATAATATGTTTTGAGGCTCTGTTAATAAAAAGATATGTATTATAGTTTACATCACTTAAGTTTTGAAAATCTTGATTTTTCAAAGAATATATAAGTTTCAATACATCAAAGTTTCATCATGTTCAAAATCAACAACAAATAAAAACAGTTTACCATCTTATCACCTTTGTGCAAGTATATATATAATAAAAATACAATTTGTGACAGTCTGAAAATACTTTGTATCACTAAGAGATTATGTCCTCATAATTTAAATCAAAGTTAAAACAGTAACTAAATCTACAACTTTAAACAGATCTGCAGTTTCTGAAGCTTAGCAAGCTCTGTCTCAATATAAGTTTGTTTTTGCAAGAATCAATATTTTTCCACATTTTAATTTATAAATGAACTCCGTAAATAAATGCATTTCCTTGAAAACAAAGAGGTACATTCATAAAGTATGTTGAATAGTTCTGTAAAATTCATAATACATATTAAAATAATTCAGAGATAATCCTCCTCCCTGGATTAACAGAATATATCGAACACGTGGAGTTCTTTCATGGGAAAAATTAAAACATGATACAGACTTTATCACATTTAAACTTTTGCAAGTAGGAAGCCTATCTGTATACTTAAACCTTTGAATGTAAACATCACCAGCATTTAAACAGACATCATATGAGCAATACTATTCTACAGTTCAGAAAAACAGAGATCTGAGACTGCAACCTAAAACAAAAACTGTATTACACAATGACCATTCTTCACTTAAATGAACAAGAGGCCGAATAGCTACAATGCTCACCTGTGTCATGTCACTGTGACATCCTATTGTGGCTCAACCTTAGCACCATGATTTGAACAAATGTGAATCTACATTAAAAAGAGGCTCTCAAATATGCTTTCACTTTTCTGGTTCAGTACTTGTGAGGATATTAAATGACCCAACCTACTTTTTACTCTTTTATTATCTCTCCTTGAAAAGGGGTTTGGACCTTTCTTTGAATAAACTTAAATACCCTTCAGTCAAGGATGGATTATGCTATGTTTGTTTGAAACTGGTCTAGTGGTTTTGGAAAAGAGATAAAAAATGTGAAAAGTTATGTACAGAAAGACAGACAGACAAGCAGATAGATGGATAAACTTTGATCAGAAAGGCCCACTTGAACAATTGTCTCAGGTGAGCTAAAAATATTAACAAATAGTGTCAACAGATACATTTACAAAATAATCATCAGGCATAATCTAAATGAGGTTTAGTTTCCCATTAATGTTTTGATATATCAATTTTCTATTAAAAAAAAAAAAAAAGAAAAGAAAAAAAAATTCAAGGCTAATGACCAGCTCTTCAAGAACCTACTTTTACTTTTAAAAAAAAATACAGCAGAAAAATGAGGTGCAATATCTTAGTTCAATTCCTTACATGATTAAAACAAAAACTACTACATGTACTATTGTAAACTAATTCATATAAAAACTGTCTTTACAATGCAGATTGAAGCAATACTGGGTGTTCAGTACATTAAAAACGTCATGTTTTTGGCTGCATAATGCCCTTTACAAAAATTAGTCAACAATATCATAGAAAATAAGATCTGACCAGTTCATTAATGCTGACCTCAGCCAGGAGAAGACAACTCTAGGATCACTCTAGTTTACAAATAATACTAAATATTGATATAAACATGTGACTAGTTAATGAGAGAGTCTTTGTCCTGTTAATACATGTACATTCTCCTTCAATAAAATATTTTTGTATACCAATGTTTTCATGTGTTTCAGAATCTAATTATAATAATAACAACCACAATTCCAGGAAACCCAAAATAAAAAGTTTTTCAGATCTCGGAAAACAATTTTTCATATTTGATAAAATGCAAAATATGATAAGATTTCTTTCTTGTGCAAAAGTAAACTTCTGTGCAGTGTACCAATATGGTACAGATCTACTGTCTCAACTACAATATGAATTGGTTTCAATTTTGAACTCTTGAATATCAAGATTTTTTTGTTTGTTTGTTTATGCTACAGAGTTTGAAATAAAATTATTCTAAAAAGTCCCTGAACATATTTCCATGCCTTCCATTATGTATGAAGTTTCTTTAAAACATTTTAAAACACATATTGGTACATGTATAACATTAATTTTTTTTTAATCATTACTTTCTGAAAATAAAAGATCTAAAGAACAATCTCCACAAAACCAAAAGATTTATCCTAACCTAGACAGCACCTAAAGAAAGACAACCTGGTATCGTAAATCGGATTTTGAACTTTATGACGATTTTGCTACGTTTTCTGCCATGGTTTTTTGTCCACTCCTTTGCTCGAGGATATGTGTTTATTGCGGCATTTGTCCCCAAAGGAACACCCAGTGGTCCTCCAGAAATAGCATTCATCCCCGTTCACAGGACCCGTGGTGTTCTTTGGGTCCATTGCTGAACTTGTACTGTTAACTGCTGTAGAGTTCTGATATTGGGCAGCTATTGCTTTTCTGGAAATATAAAAAAATACTTTCCAGGCATGTTTCACAACTCATCCTTATAAACAGACAGGCATGTTTCACCACTCATCCTTATAAACAGACAAAGACATATTATTGTATTATTCTGCACCGATACAATGGTATAAATGTCAATCATCATTTACGGTATTACCTTGCTTCTTGCATCAGATATTAAAAATACTCAAAACTTCAAACCTTAGCCTCGAAACCAGGTTAAACTTAAATGAAATCAAAGTTCTAGGATTTTTAACATTCTTACTGTGAAAAAAAAAATGCCTTTAGTGAAACCCATGATGGAGAACAACCCAGCAACCTTTGATGCATAAACCTTTCCCAGTAATCCTTAAATTTCTTTTCTTGACCACAAAATTGTCAATTTTTAAATCATCAGATTTCATAGCATGAACATTTTACTTGAATCCTAATCATGTAATTCCTATATTTGAAGAAATAGATGTAAATGTGCCTCGTTGTTGAGGGTAGAGTAATAAATGAGTACAAATTTCATAGATATTTGACCAAATAAGCATTAAGGAGGATCTCTACATTGTCACTATATGAATGACTTCCATTTAAAATGTGATTTAGGTTTGAAATGATCAGATTCTGTCTTAAACAAACAAGAAGTCTGTGAGCCAATGCTCACTAATAATACCCCCGCTCTGATGTGAATACACAAGTTCGGTTATGGACAAACAAAGTGATAATCAGGAAATTGACATCGGATTTGTAAAAACTGAATCCCAACATATGGCATGCCTAAACAAAGATTGTGCTAAAATTTCAAGCATCTGCGATGAGTAGTTGCTGAGAAAACTACGACCAAAATTTGTTATGTATGGTACGGACAGATGCACGGATAAACAGGAAGTTGACATTGGATTTGTTCCAAAAATGAATCCCATTATATGGCATGCCTAAACAAAGATTGTGCTAAAATTTCAAGCATCTGCAATGAGTAGTTGCTGAGAAAACTACGACCAAAATTTGTTATGTATGGTATGGACAGATGCACGGATAAACAGGAAGTTGACATCGGATTTGTACAAAAATGAATCCCATTATATGGCATGCCTAAACAAAGAGTGTGTTAAAATTTCAAGCATCTGCAATGAGTAGTTGCTGAGAAAACTACGACCAAAATTTGTTATGTATGGTACGGACAGACGCACGGATAAACAGGAAGTTGACATCGGATTAGTACAAAAATGTATCCCACCATATGGCATACCTAAACAAAGTTTGTGCTAAAATTTCAAGCATCTGCGATGAGTAGTTGCTGAGAAAACCACAACCAAAATTTGTTATGTATGATATGGACAGATGCACAGATAAACAGGAAGTTGACATCGGATTTGTACAAAAATGCATCTCACCATATGGCATGCCTAAACAAAGAGTGTGTTAAAATTTCAAGCACCTGTGCTGAGTAGTGGCTGAGAAAACTGCCACCAAAGTTTGTTATGTGTTGTACGGACAGACGCATGGATAAACAGGAAGTTGACATCGGATTTGTACAAAAATGAATCCCACCATATGGCATGCCTAAACAAAGATTGTGCTAAAATTTCAAGCATCTGCAATGAGTAGTTCCTGAGAAAACTGCGACCCAAAATTTGTTACGGACAGACAGACACACAGACAGACAGACAGACAGACACACAAGGGTAAAACAGTATACTCTCCTTCGGAGCGGGGGTTTAATTACACTGTATACATGAACTCTAGCTGTTGTGAATGGGTTTATTCTCTCAAAGCCATCAATGGGAAGATGGTTGATGCACCTTTTTTAAAACAAAATATTTCATCAATATCTTCAAGTACGAATTGATTTTATTCACAAACTTACAGAGATTTATCCTCTAAACCTGGTTGAGGTATCTTTTTGTCCAGTTGCTCATTTTATAAACATTATGTCACCAGAAAACATAATATTATGCTTACAAAAAAATGAAATATTTATTTACGAATATATTTTGAAACATATGAATCAACTGAACACCTGAACATGATTATGACGATCTGAGCAAGTCATCCGCCATACCCCTAGAGTTTGCCCTTGACTCAAACATAAGTTAGTATAAATTTTTTGGGCATGTGTTAAGCAAAGAATTCCATTTGAAAACTGTATTAAGATTTTGTGATGAAATAATGCAACAATGATGATTAATTTAATAATGGTAGACCTTTCTTACATGCTTGATTTCATACATGTACTATGTCACATGATCTATTCTGTACTAAGAAATGAATCAATATGAAGTGCATTCATTTCCCCCATTTGTACCTCTTCAGTCATATATTCCATGGAGAATTATCTTTCTTTGGATTTAAATTTTGAAAAACTCATTTCAGGTATACTGATCGAGGTTGTGGCTGATAAAAGATCAAAATGATGAAAACAAATCTTAAATGTTACAAACAATTATAAAGACAACATTTCTGGACACTTATCACAAAGAAACTTTTTTTGTAGTTCATATAAGACAATAAACATGCACAGTGAATAAATAAATGTATTTTGAATACTGTAAGAAATTATGTAATAAAACGATATGTAATATAAAATATATGCAATGCAAAAAAATATTATTTTCATTTTTTAAAATTATTTGTAATAGGAAACTTTAAAATTTTCTTTAAAACATGTTTTATATTGTATGATATTAAAATCTGTATTAAATTTACGCAAGAATCATGCTTGTTTGTTTGTAGAAGAAGTCCTCCGACTATCAACTGTACACAGACAAACATTGTGACGAAAATCTTAACACCAATAATCAGAGTACACATGTACCGTAATTAAATGAATAAACTATTCATCAACTGTAATCAGATACTCAACTTAAATACTTTGTATATGTACTTAATTACTTTGTACTTGTACATCATGACGAAGTGTGCATTGAAATAGATTTAACAGACATATGATGCAGATAAAATAATTGATACTGTTGGACACATTCTCATATCCACAGACCATATACCTGTGACATCCCCTTGTAGACTAAAACTCAAAACTATGAAACATATATTACATAAAAAAAAAAATTATCAAAAAGTGCTCATCTATTCAACAAGCACATTGGCAGTACTTTTTTGTTACCCCCTATAGATAGCAAATTAATGAAAGCAGATGCACCAACCTATATAATTACCTGTGATTTATGACAAAAATGGAAGTGGATTGTCTCTAACAATAGGCTTGGCATATAAACTTAATATGTTGATTTTTTTTTAGAAGTTAAAAAAAAGATTTTCAAATACTCGTTACCAATAATGTAAGAAAGGAAATAATTATACATTAATTAGCCAAGCAAGACAAGAGCCACATGGTGCCAAGAGCCATGACAAGATCCATTAACAGGCGGTACAGAGCTCCTTGGTCAAAGCAAATAAGCCAACATGCATACAAAGCCATAGATTGCAAGACAAAAAGCATTAGTTGTATCTTAGATCTACTACTAATTCATGTGCTGCAACCTTTCAAAAATTTCCTTATCCTCATTTTTAATACATTGACACTGTAAATAGACCGTGATTTTAAGTTTGTAGGATGAAAGCTATCTTGGGATGAACTTCTTCATTGTATGACAATAAGCCACTTCCATTGACACCGATAAGAAAAAAGAACATTGATTAGAAAAAAAAAAAATGAAGACTGAAGTGATCAAAAAAAAGACTTTCTTACCATTTTATGTGAAATTTCCGAGATGTTCTAAATGAAAACATAAATGAAGGTTGAATAAAAATTTATTCATCTTAGGATCAAATTGTTTGTGATACTTCTAAAAACCACCATCTTTACTTTTTTGTGAATTACCATGATACAGTTGTAAAGAACAAAATGAGATTGTGAAAAGTTTATGTCAGATATACAAACTTCACAAATATGCAAGAATGCAAGATAAGCTCACTTTAGCTTATGAATCAGGTGTGAGCTATGAATTGATTTCACAAAAAAAACCTAAAAATTTGCAAGTTTGGACCTTTCTTTCATTGTTTACACATATTCATATAGCCCTATGCATGCCTGAAGACTAGCTATTGGTAATCAAAAACACCATGTACTTGTTTTTGTGGTTTTAGGTAAATACATGTATAGAGTCATTAGTTTCACAATTCAACATCAATTTATTTTTGTTTCTTTTTGCATTCTAAATAATGTCTTTTTTATTGCACACAATTGTCTCAATAAATCTGTGATAAAGCAATAGGATTAAGATTTCTATATATCCTGTACTTTCAAATATAGATGTTTCCTAAGATTGATGATGACAACTTAATGATTTCTATAATAAAGTCTTCACATTCTCTGGAATCTCCAAGCCCAAATACAAGTAAAATGAAGAATTAGAGAAACACATAAAGCAACATGATTCCTGTATTTTTAAGTCACTGGGGAGATGAACAAGTTAACCTGTCTTGTCTATAATTGATAATGAGGATTACTGACTTTGTAATCTGTCAAATTTTAATGTTTATGATGCAATCAATCAAACAGTTCTTTGAAGTAGAGCAGTAAAAACTAATAACACAGGGATTGACATTAACGGTTGTCCGATTGCCCGGGGCAAGTAAATTCTCAGTACGGGCAAGTGAAACTGCTGATGTACTTGTCCGATCGGGCAAGTGAATATTTGATAGATTTTTTAAATCTTACATTAGTTTATAAACAAAACAATAATTTGAACATTTGATTTCTACCAGGAATATATGACATTCTTTTTGTAGTCGGAAATTCCTCGGTAGCGCCGTTTATTCAAAAATCGGGTTCGTTATTCCATTTTTCTTTCTGGGTAGTTGACAAAACTGACTTCTTAACATTCTTATTATGAAATATGATATTTAAAAATAGTTCATTTATTTACTCACAGAACATAGAGAAAACCAGTTATTCTCGGCACACGATGTATTCTGATTAGGATATTTATGTTTCAAAACATGGCCAATGTTTTTCTTTAGCGTGGCTTCAGTTTTTCAGGGGGGAAAAATCTAAATTCACAAAAAGATCATTAAGAAAATAATTTTCAAAAATATGAATTTTATTTAAAAGGAGATATTGCTGCATGGCAGTGTGAGTTTACAAGTATTTAAAATGTAGCATCACCTGCACATCAAGATATTTTTCTGGCACTTAACTTGCCAAATATAAAAAAAAAAATATCTCACTTTATTTACAATAATAAATTAAGTTATCGGTTTCCCTTCTTTCTAAATTTTGGGCAACCAAGTTTTGTATTCGGACAAGTCAAAGTTTGAGTTCACTTGCCCAAAGGGCAAGTGAATCTGTAAGTTGATGTCTATCCCTGTAACATTCAGCTTAGACTAAGAAATTCCTCTTTTGTACTCTCCAAAATTGTCAATTCAATTCCTGAACTCTAGCATGTGAATTTTTTTTAAAATCCCACCCTTGCATCAGAAGTACATACTATTAAATTATTGTGATCAGAAAGCAAATATAATGACTAAAGATTTTGAATGGAAGTATAATAAAGGACACAACTTTTTCAACATGGTTTTAAGTCATTTTTATGAATATGACTATTAGTAATGTCTCTAACAGTTGATCCTTTGCAAAAATTAAACTTCCACTACAACTAAATGATGTATGATGATCTTGCTACAAGATAAAATCATGCAATTCCACACAAGTGAATACAAGGTAGTAGTGGGGGGTCAGTGATGAGAGAGATATATAAACTGACCATGTATTGTGACAACAAATTGATATGGACACATTTGGAATCTACAGTACATCCACATTACTTATGACTAGATCAATAATCCTTGTACTTGATATACAGTTCAACTTCAGTATCTCAAACATCCATATCACGAATATCAAGGACATGTCAAAGTGAGTTGGAAATATCACTTCCAACATGTCCTTGGTACTCAAGATATCGATGTTCAATATACTAACATTCAACTGTTTTCTGAAAGTGTATGCATGCACAAGTAGCTGAGAAAAAAGTGGAATTTTTTTTAAGCATTCAATACTTCAGCAACTTGGTGAGAAGCAAATGTACAATTTGTGGAGCTACAGTAAAAATAAAAGTTCTAGCAATTTGAACATAAATGTTTATTATCCAATATACAGGTCTACAGTATAGTCCAAAAGTCTGAGCTGTTTTGATTCAAGTAGATATTTAAAAAATAGTTTTGAATTTGGTTTCCAATCAAAATCTAACCTCTATCTCTCTAGAATAAAATATAATATACACATATTACCCTATTTTCTGGATGAGTCTATCCCCCCTCTTTAAATACTCACCCTACATATGTTTGTCTCTGCTGGGGGCTACTACTGGTATTGGGGGTTTTCCGTATCGTAAGTGTACCACTATTTACTATGGGGTTGTCAGGGAACTTTATCAGTAACTTCTGGCCTCCACATTCAGCTCCCTAAATTAAAATTAATAATTAACATTCATTTTCTTAAGCTCACTTAATTTAGGGAAGAGACTCTCTTTAAACACTGACATAGAAATGTAGGGCATTTTTTTGAGCTGTTTACATCTTTCAGATATGAATTATTTGTTTCTCACTTCAAGTAATCTTTGTATAAAATGTAAGGGTTTTCATGAAAAAGTTAAAAGTTATATACGTAAAAATAAACATTCTAATTTTAATCAATTTTCTCAAAATTTAACATATTCAGAGGAAAATTGATCTACTTTACCAGAGAAACGTGAATATTCACCTGTAAACTGATCTTTTATACCAGAGAAAAAGGGTAAAATTAACCTAAAACTGATCACCTTTACCAGAGAAATGTGAGAAATTCACCTGTAAACTGATCACTAACACCAGAGAAATGTGGAACATTCACCTGGAAACTGATCACTAACACCAGAGAAGTGTGGAATATTCACCTGGAAACTGATCACTAACACCAGAGAAATGTGGAATATTCACCTGGAAACTGATCACTAACACCAGAGAAATGTGGAACATTCACCTGGAAACTGATCACTAACACCAGAGAAGTGTGGAATATTCACCTGGAAACTGATCACTAACACCAGAGAAGTGTGGAATATTCACCTGGAAACTGATCACTAACACCAGAGAAATGTGGAATATTCACCTGGAAACTGATCACTAACACCAGAGAAATGTGGAATATTCACCTGTAAACTGATCACTAACACCAGAGAAATGTGGAACATTCACCTGGAAACTGATCACTAACACCAGAGAAATGTGGAATATTCACCTGGAAACTGATCACTAACACCAGAGAAATGTGGAACATTCACCTGGAAACTGATCGCTTACACCAGAGAAGTGTGGAATATTCACCTGTAAACTGATCACTAACACCAGAGAAATGTGGAAAATTCACCTGTAAACTGATCACTAACACCAGAGAAATGTGGAATATTCACCTGTAAACTGATCACTAACACCAGAGAAATGTAGAAAATTTACCTGTAAACTGATCACGAACACCAGAGAAATGTAGAAAATTCACCTGTAAACTGATCACTAACACCAGAGAAGTGTGGAATATTCACCTGTAATCTGATTACTAACACCAGAGAAATGCGGAAAATTCACCTGTAAACTTTGCATGGCTTTCCCTGCAGCCTCCTTTGTTTTGAAATTTACAAAAGCACAGAATTTTTCAGGTAAAGTCCGCACACTTGTCACAGAACCATATCTGAATTAAAAAAATCAAATGCAACATTTAACAGCTGCAGATACATGTATGAATTCTGTTTTGTTATGGTACAGTATTCTTCTGGTTTTTTTTATAATCCAAATAAGGACAGCGCTAAGTTTTTATGTCAGCTTGTGACACCATTTTTTTCCACTACTAACATCACTTGTCATATGAGAGTAAACAGATAATAAATATAAAGGATTTATTTATATATTATTTATTTAATTACTGAATGAAGGAGAACTAACAATTCTCATAACCTTAAATAATTAAAAAGTTCCAATGTAGCAAATCTTTCTGTTCAGCTGAGGTTCCAAGTTGTCATCAATTTTGTCTTTGCTTTCTTCTCTACTTGTTAGTAAATTTTATTTTTTATCTTTCTCTACTAGACTTTCATACAAGAGCTTGAACATAAATTACCAAAGGAATATCATCGATGTAAAAATTTCAGGAACCGTATGGTGTAGTCGATTTATTTAATGTCCAAATCTATTAGATATATTTATTCTTGCGATCAGCTAATCAAGTTTTAATTGACCATTGATATCTAAGATGTTTCAGTACCATGCAGACCGCTATCTAATTAGTGAAGATTTTTACTTGAGGACCCTATTAAAGGCACTTTATCATTTAATTACAAATGTTTCCAAGCTAATTTAATGGCAAAATGATAATAATATGATTCAAGAATACTGTATGTGTACATACATGTAAATTAACGTTTTCAAAATTTAGCGTAATCACCGGGTATGGAGTGGTTGGCTTAGTCATGAATAAGCGCTACACATGTAGCGCTAACAAATTAAAATAAAAAAGTTGTACTTATTGTCTATGAGTTAAAGTAAATTTTAATATCTTACTCTAAATAATTTTTAAACATCATATTAGATTATTGCCGTTTAATCATCGTGTCCACTTGGCTGAAAGTGAGCCTAAAGGTATTTATTGTGCGGTCGTAGTTTTATTATTGAGCATTTAATTACCGTTTACTATTAATTAAAAACAATTAACTTCAGATTTTCTAATCCAGGAGGATCAATAATGTGTAATTATGTATGTTAGAATAGCATTGTGTAACTAATACTGTACATACATGACGTACATATACATTGTCGAGGTTCACATATAGAGTACGTGGGTCGACACAGTTCAACTTAATGGTCCAAGTGACAAATGCCAAAAATTCATTTTATATTACAATTAAATTTAATTAAAAATGAATTTCGAAAATCCCATTATACATAGATTAATATTTACATACATTTAAATATGCCTATTGCCTGGTGAAATAGATGACGACTAAATCGGGTTCGATGTTCGAGGCCTGATAAAATGGCAGATCGAAGCAAGTAATGAAAACCATCATATCGTATTCATTTATTAACGGTAATCATGAATTAGCGCATCGCTGTCTGCGTCAAAGCCGCTAAAATATGAAGCCCGCTTTTTTAAGTACACATACAGTATAATTGTGTGTCATTTGTAAGATTTGAAACATGATAAAAAAAATCTTTCAAAAGTGTCTTTACATAGGATATTATGTTGGGTAATACTCAATATGGTCACATAGATGTATGACTGAGTCATTTAATACAGACAGTTGCTCAGTCTAGACTGTATATCTATCCTAAATATCTTCCAAAACTCTTCAGGATAACATCTAACAGAGAAACAGCACAGGTGTTGCTTCTGTGAATTCATTACATAAGTTTATATCTGTACATAGTATTTCTAATCTCTTACCTAGAAAAGATTTTCAAAAGTTTTTTATCGTCTACTTTATCTGGTAAAACATTTCCGACCCACAAAGCTGTTAGTCCCTCAGGATTACGTGGACTAAAATATTAATAAACAACAGGTATAGATGGATAAATGAAATGAGTGCTATACATTTGGTTTAAATGATGGAAAATATACTAGATTTAACAAGCTTACTCCATCTTTGTGACATCTTTAGGAGCTTGGGGTTTAGGAAGGGACGGAGTTGTAAAACCAGAATCATCATCAGAAACGTAAACTTCACCCCCCAAAGCATTCTCCGCTAAAAAAGAGTACAAAGAATTGTGTCATGTACAACCTGAAGCAATCTTTCCTTCAAGACTGAGATTTTCCAAGATTTGAAGTTACTTAAAATCATGAAAGAACAAATGCATGTTATTTTTCCTCATGAAATATAATTTCACAAAACACTTTTTTTCCTCTCATACGAAGATTGCATTAAGGAAATCTAACATGGACTTTTTTGGCTAATTTTTGATTAACTGTACATACCGACACCTGCCAGAAGTGAATCCAGAGCAGCCTGTACAGTGGAATGCTTTTTTATCGCTTCTTCAGCCTGAGATCGAGAGAAACCCATTTCCTGAAAAATATTTTTAAAACACTGAATACAACTATGTTGAATACACTTAAAACACTGTCCCATCATCTCAAATCTACTACAAGTTGACAATGACTATACATGTACTGGAACACTTTTATGTTTCATATATAGTTGGAATATTTCAGTACTGTTTCTTTGGCACATATATATACTACTACACCTGTCCTTACTGCTGTTTGGTATATCTTTATACTTACTGTTATTTGGTATATCCTATCACTTACTGTTATTTGGTATATCCTATAACTAACTGTTATTTGGTATATCCTATAACTTACTGTTATTTGGTATATCCCATTACTGACTGTTATTTGGTATATCCTATCACTTACTGTTATTTGGTATATCCTATAACTAACTGTTATTTGGTATATCCTATAACTTATTGTTATTTAGTATATCCCATTACTGACTGTTATTTGGTATATCCTATCACTTACTGTTATTTGGTATATCCTATAACTTATTGTTATTTGGTATATCCTATAACTTACTGTTATTTGATATATCCTATTACTGACTGTTATTTGGTATATTCTATTACTTACTGTTATTTGGTATATCCTATCACCTACTGTTATTTGGCATATCTATAACTCACTGTTATTTGGTATATCCTATAACTCACTGTTATTTGGTATATCTATAACTCACTGTTATTTGGTATATCCTATCACCTACTGTTATTTGGCATATCCTATAACTCACTGTTATTTGGTATATCCTATCACCTACTGTTATTTGGCATATCTATAACTCACTGTTATTTGGTATATCCTATCACCTACTGTTATTTGGCATATCCTATAACTCACTGTTATTTGGCATATCCTATAACTCACTGTTATTTGGTATATCCTATAACTTACTGTTATTTGGTATATCCTATAACTTATTGTTATTTGGTATATCCTATAACTTATTGTTATTTGGTATATCCTATTACTTATTGTTATTTGGTATATTTTTATACTTACTGTTATTTGGTATATCCGAGAACGTAAAAGTTCTTGTACAGCATCATCACAATTCTTGTCTAATTTCAAAACTTGTGTAAAGGCATCTTCTGCCTCAGAGAACATCTACAAACAAATAAAATCAGTTTTACACCATCGATCACATTCTGGCAATCAAAATTAAATGTTTGACAATTCCCAATGCTAACAACTTACTCTTAAGCCAGCTAGTGCTCTCCCTTTTCTAAAATATCCTTTAGGCCAATCTTTTTGTAGTGAAACAGCTTTTTCAGCATCTTTTAAGGCCCTGCAAAATTAGTACAAATTAAAGAAATAATCTGTCGTATCAATGTTACATTTTGTACTCAGTGTTACATCCTGAACATTTCTTTAAACATTTCTGTCACTAAATATTATATTCTTGAGGCAGCAGGTTGAAAGTTTAACAACTCATGATGAGTCCCCTACCTATCATATTGGCTAGTTCGATCATAACAGTATGATCTATTTCCAAAAAATCTGCAAAACATAAGAAATGTATTTTAATAATAAATCAGCAAGATTTGAGACTGAAAGAAAATTCAAATATAATGTAAAAGTAAGAAAATCATAAAAAGACAACTTTATGCTTAAGTATGATTCTGTGTAAATCAGGAATGGTTCTTACCTAAAATCATTGGGGTCTAATTTAATGGCTTCACTAAACAGTTCTATAGCAGATTTATAATGACCTAATTGAGCCATTTCATTTCCTTTAACTGTAAAGAAAGAATTGAGTTATAATCAACACAGAAATGAAATATTGTTTGTACAGTTACTGTACTTCAGCATAACCAGTATCATTAGTGCTGTCAAGATCTTAAAATGTAAATATACATGGTGTTCCTGAATAAAAATGCAGCAAAAAATTACTACATTGTCTACTTTTAATTTATGTACATTTTATTTACACTTAGAGTATCAAAGAATATTGTTATAGTTTCTTTTTTTTCAAATCCTTTCAAATTACTAGTTATACGAGTACATGTATCTACTAATTACATCAACATGTCCCAGAAAGTCAAAATGTCCCAGAAATCTTTGAATGATGAAACTTTCATGTATTTTTGTCTAGAAATGAGGTCTTACTTGCTAGTTGTCTACTACGTAAAACCACAGGGTCTAAATCTTCCGTTTCATCATCACTGCCGTGTCTAGACCTCTCTCTTTTTCCACCTGACTCACTCCCTGAGGTAGCTTTCTTTTTCTTATTAATGACTTTGGTAAAAAATGCTGAATTAGGATCAAAACCCTAAAAAGTAATTAAAAGTTTGGCTCAATTTATCATTCTATAAAGCAATTTAGTATCCGATTTAATATATACACTTTTCTAATCATGTTAAAATGCTCTTTTCAGTGAAAATCTTATTAGTTATTCTTTGTTCAATTTATATTATGTTACTAAAATAAACTGTAATATCTAAATTTTTATCAAAACTTTGTAATTTATTATGTAAATAAAGTATAATGCATTGTTGTTAAAATTCATGGAAACTTTGTTGTGTCTACACATACGCTAACTGCATCATCTGATGACGATGAATTGGCAGGTCTAAAAATAAAAGAAATTTTAGGGTAATAGATTACTAAGCATTCTAATATACTGCAAAAATAAAACATCCTAAACTTTACAAAAAGAAACAGTAAAAAATAACAGATTTATAACTGTATTTCTAAACTTTTAATTCCCCCAAAATAAAAATAACAATTAAGATAAATTTTAGCTTACTTTTTATCCTTTTTCAATTTATTGCCACTTTGTATATCTGTATTAATTGTATCTTTAGTTTTTGTCTGTCCATTTACTTCAACCTAAAAGAAAGGAACATTTTTTTCAAAAGATTGCAAATCAAAAAGAATTCTTCATTTTGAAAACTTAAATGACAGGAAATTCTAGCCTAATCTACATGTACATGATCTTTTTTTTTTTTTTTTTGAGAGAGAGAGAGAGAGACTAAAACACAGTTTACTTCTGACAACAAACAAAAAGGACCCCTCCCCCCCCACAAAAACAAAAATACAATATTCAAATTATTTAGTGCACACTTGTGTAAATAGCATTTCTCCTATTTGGGGGGGGGGGGGGGCTTATTTGTAGTGCACATCCAGAAATGAAAAAAGTAAAGAAAATTATCATTTACTACAAGAGTTGTGAAGGAAGAAGATTTTTCCAATATAACAGGTTACGCAATAACAATCTGATAAAGGGCTGAAAAGCCACACCAGACCTACTAACCTCTTTTGATAGAAAAATGCAATAAACTGGGGCCTGTGGAGTTGATCGCACTTCAAGTTGCTCACAGAATTCAATCAAGGGAGATAAAGGCTGGTCAACTTAAGGTTGATTTACTTAATAAAGTAACAAGACCCCATCACTATATATATTTACCAATGAGATTAGAGAAGACAAGATACACACTGATAGTAAAAGAGAGAATGGAAAATGTAGCAGGTCACGTAGTCTCAAGAGTTATCTCCCTGTCTTGGGATTGTTCTGACCCGCCAGATTATGTGGGAGGGGTGTATCAGCAACATGGTTTTCTTTAACCAATGCTACTTTCTTACCCTCCAATAATAAAACGTTTGATAAGTCTGATTTCCAGCTTCTTGTCTATAATTTAGCCTCATTTTTCAACTCCCTTTGAATGACAGTGATTGTGAATTTGTTTTTGTAGACAATGTGTATGTTCTATAAATCAAGTAAATGTATTTCATGCATTCATTTTTGCCAGTCAATGGCATTTTCTTCATTTACTAGATATTTTTGCATATTCTCTGTATAATATATGCTTGTAGTTAGAGTAATCACTGACAAAAATGTTAAGTAAAGAAACATCCCATTGCAGAATTACATGTAAATAAAGTTTTCATTTCCGTAGAATTTCTGTCAATATAAATCATTAACCATGGTAACTTGTACTGTTTAGGGAATAACTGTTTTCTCCTTTGCTATTTGCGACCATTTGATTCAATGGTACCAAACTAAGTTTTACCAGTTGACATGAAACAGTTGCATTAGAATTTACCTTTGTCTGTTCTTTCTGTTTTTCTAATTTCTTCTTCTCCCTCCTCCTCTAGAATTTGGAAATACAGACTTGGATTAAAGGTACAGAAAGCAATCTATTCTTTATATTAAAATAAAAACAAAGGTACAAGTACTACAAGTTTTATCTCCATTCTGTTCATAAAATCCCAGTTGTCAAGAAAAAAAAGTTTGACACATGAATGCCACACAATTAAAATTTGAATCATCTTGTATAGGTTACCCAATCATGTCTTTACAGTTTTAAAACATTCTACTTAAGTTCACCTTTTTCTTTGCTTTTCTTTTCTCTAATCGTCTTTTTTCTTTCTCCTCCTCAGATATTAATTCTTCTGCATTTCTATTTATTTCCTGAAAGGATTTTTCAACTCTACTTACAGAAAGTCTGGATTGAAAGAAACATGCAAAATTTTTTCTTATTAGACTTACATGGTTTTACATGTATTATAAAAATATCTAATACAAAACTGCAATTATTTTCTCAGGGCTAATAGGTCTTTGCCAGGGCTAACTTTTACTAACAGTCAGTTCTGCATGTCAAGCTAATTTTACAGCGAGTTACAAACACTGGTCTAAACTTCATCAATGATGAAGTCTTTTCCTCTCTAATCAGTAGAGTTGACAAATTTAACAAGTGCTTAAACACCCAATTTTATGTTAACGCCCCCCAAATCTACCTGAATCAAGATCAATAAATTACCGCCTGTCAATCATAAAAAAAAAACAATAGCTTCTAATTTGATTGACAGGCCAGCTACCTGCGCTACCTGATAATCTGAGTTTGCATGTTTTGAAGACGATTGCCTGGTCACGCATCAAACACTTTCATGTACCCGCCTTGTATACACAGTTGATACTCGCGGGTTATAAAAACCACTGTGTGTCCAGTACTCGTAAGGTCTAATGTTGCTTATTTTATTTCAAAAATAATTAAGAGTAGATAATCAAAACACTGATTTCATAAAATATTTGTTTTCCTCGCGACTGTTTGGTAGTTATAAGCAATATGTCGTCCGAGATACATGTATCTGAGGAATTTAGGTCGTCCACAGAAACTTATTATTCGCTGCAGTATTGGAAGTCCACCGATTAAAATTATGAAAAAAAAATTGAATATAACAAATAAGTGAAGATATTCAGCACTAACGACATGGTTTACTAAAAATGTCTTATCTTTGTATAATGGATTCAATCTATACGATGTTGTTAACAGAGACGTGGTTGTAAAGAAATGTGAGAATTATTGCTCGAATTTCCTCTATCGTCTGTAGTATAATTATGTATATAAAGATAACGAACAATGATCGATCCTAAGAAGAAATTTTTCAAACAATAAAATTTTGTTAACACACAAACACGCAGACATATTGAATATTATGGACAACATTGTTGACCAGAAAATAAAAAAAATCTTCCGATCGCGGTAAATGTTCACACGACGGATGAATGGATTTTTTTTCAATATATACACACTTTTCAAAACCATTGTGAATTATTTTATTGAAGATAAAAAAAAAATGTTTAGATTTAGTTGCTTTGTTTTTTTTACTCGTGATTTTCCTAAAATTTTACAAAAAAGCTATATATCTTTATAATTTAATCCTTCAAAAGATTACGATGAAAGCATTAGTTTACAATTAAATTTTATATGGAAATAATTAAATTATTTTAAGTAGTTTCACTCAAAATTAGAAACGAAATACGTAATGTTGACCCTGATAACCAAACACAGACTTCCTGTGTAATGCAACGTGTACATAGGTTATTGACATCTTGGGTATTGGGGGTCTCCAGGTAAATAACACCACTGTTACTTAGACCACTCCCTCTCCTCAGGTAACCGTACGGTAAAAAAAATGGGTCTTTAATGAAAACCCTTAAATTTTAATTTCACAGCTATTAAGACTAATATAAAATTCCAAAACATTCCTACTTACATCTACTGTTAATCTTTTAAAATGAGATTCAACACCTAAAACAAATGAATGTATGAAATGTTATTTTACATACAGTCTACAGACTCTACAATACTGTTTTGGTTAAAATACATTTTTCAATCAATTAATGAAATTTGATGTTATTATCAGAAAAAAAAATTCACCTGTTTTAGATTTTCTGGTATCTTTGATTCTTAATCTATCGGAATAAAAATTTGAAAATTGGTCCTCATCTGATTCAATATCATCCTCTTCATCAAAATCTTCATCAGATGAATCATCTCCAGAACCATTATAAGAATCTGAAAGACACACCATAAGGTAATGATACATACAATATGTACAAAACACTTGTCAGTGTCCATATTTTCCTATGGGTACCCTACATATCTGTCCAATCAAAAATTAAAATAGGTGCCAGGGCTCTCGATTCTCTATAATTGGGGCCGTTTAAAGGCCCCATTCCCAATTCAAAAAAGGTACCTTTTTTCCCAATTTAATGTTTTAATTTTCCCAATTGGTCACTTCCCCAAATATCAAAGAACATTTAGTAAAATATGTAGTTCCTAAACTTGTTATTCATATTTCTCTATATTACAAAACAGAAATTTAGTTGATAGCAACCACCAGAAACTCAATATATAATGAATTCAATGGACATTGTCTGGTTATGATTTTCCCAAATTTCCTCAAAAGGTCGCTAATTTTCCCAATTTTCACAGCCCCGGCCCCAGTCCCAAAAACTGGTGTGAGAGCCCTGGGTGCACAATGGCACTATGTAATAGAGATTCTTTGGAAATATGAATAAATTTTATTCTGTGACACAGGAGGAGCTGTGGATGAGAGATGGGTATCCCCAAGTGTTACGGATGTATGGAAGGACAGACACCCCCATCAGTTTAATGTAATATAAAGTGTATGAAGCAATGTTTAGAAGAAATGCTATTCAATGTATACTGGTAAAATCTGCTTATTATATGTTAATTAAAACACTTTCAGAAATGGACACTTTTATGACATGACTTGTAAATTAACTGCTTTAAACAGCTGACCCTAATGATGGCACTTACGTAATGACTGTGAGAAGAAAACATCTTTGAATAACTGCATCATCTGGTCCTAAAAATAGAACAGCTCTATCAACAAAAAAAACAGCAACTTACTTTTACAACAATTAAAATTCTACAAGGATAAAATTGGGAAAATTAACATACTAAAGTATCAATGTACCGATAAGAATAAGAAAGAGAATTTGAACCCTGTTGTATAGGGAAGCATCCTGTCTCTCATTAACAGCTAATCACCATCTTCCTTTACTTTGAAACGTTGTCAAAATCATCCAGCTTTAAAAATGATTGCAAACCATTTTTAATGTGACATGAAACATGTAAAAGTCTTAATTAATTGGTAATTACCAGTGTCATATTGCGAAGATTCTCCTCACCCTCGTCCTCCATTAATTTTCTGTAGGCTTTTGATACTTCCTTGAATTTCTACAATGATCATTTTTGAAACACATATATGTACTTCCTGAATTTTATTTTTGGGCAGGAAATGGTAGAAATAAGGTAAATTTAGCTCATACATAGATAAGTGCTTAAACCATGTATATTTCCTGATCTTTTTTTTAAGTTTTTTGGGTGATTTGCTTGTATACAGCTAATATCAGAGGAAATGAATGTGTAGGATCTCATTCCCAGACAAGTCATTTCTACATGTTTGTAATTAAATAATTTAATTTAATATTATTTTAACTTTAAATATTCCTGATTTTTCTCATTCCATTTGAATTTTTTTTTTCTTTTTAGCTAAGTTTACATGCAGATCTGGAACATTTGATTTTATTCTTTTTAATTGAGATTAAAATAAGAAATTGTCCTAAAACAATGAACTTCTTATTACCTTAATATTGTAGCCACAACTAGGCCTTTAGGGTCATGACTAATAACTTTAGGGGTGAAACTATATGCCTCCTTCATGGTACAATACACACTGGACAAAGGTTATTTACGCTATATTTTGAAAAAAAATTTTAAAGTTGTTTTGTCTCATTTCTGAATCACTTAAAAAAATTAACTTAATTGACGTGAAAATTGACAAGAAGAAATTGACTGTTAATGAACAAACTATAAGTCTTCAAGAATCAGGTGGGTTTTTTTTTTTTTTTTAAATCTAAACGTGCTGTTTAGCATGTTTAATGAATGCCAAACTTGATTAATAATCCCCATCAAATAGTGAACCGAACCTAAAACAGAGATTTTGCAGGGTGCATCAATCCGATTAAAATATGTCGCAATGAATTGATACCGCAATGAACCTTTTCATTCCTGGATAACTTGACGTATAAATTTGAAAGGTCAAGATTTAAAAAAAAATGATACCCAAAGAAAGGTCACAAAGAATACACAAGTGAAATACGAGAGCCATTGCAGCAACCATTCAGAAACTATGGTCAAGGTTCAAGTTTTATAAAGTAAGTGAAACTCTAAGATCAAGGTCAAAAGGTCAAAATTGTTAGTACCCAAAGAAAGTTCTTGTCACAAGTAAAAAAACTTGTGAAAAATGAAAGCCCTAGCACCAACCATACAAAAGTTACTGCTAAGGTTAATTTTTACAGAAGTAGGTAAAATTCCAAGGTAAAGGTAAAGAGGACAAAATTGTTGGTAAACAAAGGAAAGGTCTTGTCTTGAACTATTCACACACTGTATGCTTTTGATCTGAACTTCCAATATAAAGTTGATAACAGGTTTTCGGTTTTCATTTTTAAGCTTTAAAAAATTCTTCACAGAAAAATGATATGTCCAATCGGACAAGTGCCTTGCAATAATCACTTGTCCGTGAAAAATTTTCACTGGTACCCGACAAGTGTTAATGTCGAGCCCTGTCGTTAAAATGAAATTGTCCTATGAACCCGGTTTAATGATAAAATTTGTTCCATGTGTTGTCAACATAGCAAACAGCAAAATAAACAGGAGTAGATAACTCTAACCTACTCATTTACTACAAATAATCTAGAGAATTCTGAATGTCAACATGGCTTATTAATTCAAAGCAAGAAAAAATGTTGAGAAAATGAGTTGAATTTTTGTCTTTATATGAATTATTTTTTTAGGGTAGAAGGGATATATACACAAGCTCAAAAAAGGTTTGTTATGTTTAACATGGTTAATAAGGGAGTTATTTTCAGTGTTAAGTAACTCCTTTTGTACTCTTTAAAATCGTACTGTAGTGAATCTGCTTCGATTTACTACAATGCAGCTATATGGGACGTAATCTTACTGTGGTGAGGACTTGTCCCGTGACACAGCTACATTATCTAACTACTGACTAGTAATGCAAGGGTCCCAAGTTTGAAATTGTTTTAGGGCTGGGACGATGCAACTTTTTCTATATCGATACGTATCACGATATTTGAGCCACGGTACAATATTTATCACGATACGTTGAATTGTTAATAATTTCTTTTTTTTTGTATTGAAATGAACGAAACATTTCTTCACAAATAAGAATAATTTATTCAAAGAAGTTGTATATCTGTTGTAAATCAAAATCATTTTACACAAGTGGTATTAATTATTATGTATTTCATTTTAATACTTATATGTAGCATATTTATTTTAAATATTTAACCCAAAATGTTAAGTAAACAAAGAAAAACACGAGTCAGAATTTTTTTGACAATACTGCCTTATACGTATCAATATGCGTATCATCATCGATAATATCGATATCTCGTTATATCGTCCCAGCCCTAAATTGTTTGTTGAATTATAAATTGATATCCGACTTACTTTTATAGATTCTGGTGAGTTACTGTGTTTTTCTGGGTGCCACTTTAGAGCAAGCCGTTTATAGCTTGTTCTGACTGAATCTTGATCTGCCCCTGTTAGTATAAAAAAAAATATAATTAACATATGTGTTCCCTTTTCTTACACATATTTGAAATACCAGCTTCTAGGATAATTTTGTGTTAGGCTGTATGACGCACTTTTATTTTCCTCTACCCTAGAAATTTATAGACTTTGTTTTGTATTTTTGTTAGCATGATATGTGATGCATTTTGTCTATGAGAGCATATATTGATACAGGATCTGTTTTTGAACACGAAAAAAACTTACAACCAATTAAAAACTATCAAAAGTATGTATATGATAAATCAATATGCATTAAGTCTTAATATGTACGAATTATCTAAAATGTTCTCAGTATAGGACGACAGACAGTTAGACACCGACTATATCTGTCACGAAAACGTTCCTGTTATAATTGGCAATAAAAGGTTGTAATTCATTTGTTTATCATTCATCCATTCTTACATACCGATTGGTAATTCTAAAATATCATAAGCATCAGATCTTGAAAATCCCATTATCAGTTTTATGAATCGCTGGACAATATAGTATGTTTAAAAACAAAAATCTTTGGATTTAAGTTAAACTCAGGCCGCCATTTTCTGTATTGCATGTGTGTAGCCACGTCACGTGGTCTCTTTGAGAGATTTGATATGGTTTCAAAGAGTGGATCTAACTTTTATCTTTGCATATCGATTTTCGTTGTTTTCGCATAAACCCCCACCCCACCTCCAATAAATAAATAAATAAATCAGTTAATTAATTAATTAAAGTTATATATGGCGTATCTGAGATTAAAAAAAAAAAAAATGAAAATATGATATTGAGTGTAGATAAACATGATACATGTATATGTTATTTACGTTCAAATTAAAATTTTCACCGATTTTGAACTTGAATAACCTCATGTTTCCTTACTTACATGTAAATCATGTAAATTGACTTTAAACTGTGTCTGTTATTTAAACGCGGAGTCGGTAAATAAACCGGTTATTGATTTAAATTTCCAATATTGAAACATGATTGATTTAAATTGTGTAATTTACAGGAAAGTCCTATCTTTATATATTAGTAATAAAAAAATAGAAAGATCTTTTTAATTTTAGTCTGAACTTACAAAAAATACGCCATATATGACTTTAATTAATTAAATTAATTAAAAAGAGAAATGATTTATTATTTGTCATTCATCACACGTCACAGTACAACAGCTTCTTGTAAATGACACCACATGTCTGCATACAAACACCAAAGAAATGTTTTTAAAAACTTCAAATGAATATGTATAAAATTTCTCTCAAATATTATGGATGGGTGTAGGGAGAAGCGAAACAAGCATATCGAGAGCTACCATTATTTCATTTCTTCTGCATATGACCAAACTGCTAAATCTTTAAGCACGTTAAGCAGCTCAAAATCAGTCTAACAGGGGCCTAAAATAATAGTGATTGTTTTAATTAAGTTATAGGAAAGTCAAATCGCGGTTGCAGCAAGCGCATATCCAGAATTTTACGTCAAGTTGGATTGGAAAGGGATGGGGGTAGTGGAACCGCTGATTCACCTTCAGATCAATAGGACTGGTTTCAGTTGGGAGCGGGTGCTTGGGGCAAAGCTCCTCGTAAGCTACTGAGAATGTATTAATTAAGTGGAAACATCTCTTCTCCTCCCCCTCTCTCTCTCGGAGGCGGGAGGGGGGGGGGGCTCACCCATCGATATCCAAGTCTATGCAGAAACGGAATCTTAATGCATACTAGATGTGCTTCTGTCTTTTTTCATTCAGAATTTTGTAATTCCAGTCTAAAAGTTAGAATTTCGATCTGATCCAATATCATTTATCCATATCGCTGATATTGATCATCGCGAAAAAAAATCTTTTTTCCATATTGGATCTCAATCTTTGGTCAGGACACATGCACGAAGGAGTTTATTGAATGGAAATAAATTTTGCATAACTAATTGATCAGTTGATGACCATGGTTCATGACCTCAACACTCTGAGTATTTATTACACCAAGTGTTTTTCTGTTGCAAAATTATGGATCAGTCACGAGTTTTACACTTCCCCTCAAGTTGATAATTAAGTCGTCCTTGTCAAAGTACCATGACACTAATAACATTTCAAGGACAAACTATATACGCTATTAAATTTGTCATTTACCATTTTACATAACAAGAATAGTACGCAAGATGCTTTCTAAATAAAGTTCCCCCCCCCCCCAGGCACTTGTTTCGATAATATTTTTTTTAACCCATAGTATAATCGGGTGCGCCCCCTCCCTAAAATTGTCAAAGCGTAAATCATACTTTCGTCGAGAACATGTAAAAATGTCTACTTGGTAGACCTCATTTTTACAGTACAAAATCTCTAGAATCTACTGAGGAGCTTCCGGGAGCTTCGCCCCATGGGCCCCCATCAGGGCTTCGCCCTGAACCCACTGGGGGCCTCAGGGCGGCCCCAGACCCCTGCCTACTTTTTGCGCCCCTAACTTCAAATTCTGGATCTGCGCCTGATATAATTATACTCTGGGTTAAAAAAATTATTACCGAAACAAGTGTCTGTGTTTTGTTCAAATGCTTTCAGTCCCCTTCGTGTTTCTCAGTTATAATAATAATAATTTTTTGAAAAAGACAAGGTCGTCGGAAAGGGGGGGGGGGCTTTGAGTGCGATTGTACCCCCCCCCCCCTTAAAAAAATGAAATCTAATGTTTGAAATAAAAAATAAATTATTATTTATCTGTTTAAAGTATGCTGCTTTATTTTGTTAATTTGATAATATGTGAAGAAATGACTTCAAAAATGCATCAGAATCCACCAAAATGGAACCCATCAGAAAAAATCTGAGTCTAAAGAGTGGATACCCCTCCCAGACATTCCCCGGCTCCCACTTTTTTCAGAAACCTGGCGACAGCCTTGATAAGCACACTTGAACCTCATTTGGAAAACTCGGTACACTCCTTTACCTAATGACAATTAGTGCCATATTGTTATAATATTATTGTTGCAATGTTAATATGGTTTATTCCCCGAACGTCTACTCGCTAAAACAACTATTTAATTAATTAATTTAATCAATTAAGAGGCCCTCAAAGGGGTTCAGGTAGAATTTACCTGTGTTACCTTGATTTAACAAAATAGTCAAAATTAAATAATTTGATATTTACTGTTAAAACTGTGTTCTAAAACACATATTTATTGATTAAATACCTGCTAGAATTATGTACATGTAATAATTATTTTTATTTAAAATACATTTTAAATTTGAAAAAGAAACATAACTGTACAATTTTTTTTAAAGACATTTAAATTAACAAATAACAAGTGATGAATTATTTTCAAACATAACTTTTTTTAACTTAACACTTGGCACTTGAAGCATCACTTACACCACATTTTAAGCTTTGTTTAATCTATATTAAACATGGAGAACTTTTTTCACATCGCATTTGTAGGTCCATCTAACGAAAGTGGGGGGGGGATTTTTCTGAGCATAGACTTTTCCTGTAGTATAGTCTATTTAGATACTATCCCCTCTTACTTTCTGTTGCTGTAAGGTCGAGCGCTGACGAATTCCAGCACTTGAAAAAAAAATCTACAAACAGTTAGAGAAAGTCCACCCCAGTCTGATTAAAACCAGCCCCCCTTCTCCTTTCACTCGTCGAGTGAAAGGAGAAGGGGGCTGGTTTTAATCAGACTGAGTCCACCCCTCCCCACACACGAACACACAAAACAGGATTTTCAAGGTATTTTTGTTTTATTTTAATATTAGTAAAACACATAATTCCGAAATTTCCTTGTACGACTTACAAATATTTTTTTTACTCGAATCAGTTGACGTTTGGTCTGTCTAATTGAAATTGCAGGCGATTTTGGCGAAACAAGACAGAAGACTTACAGTTACAAGTTACAAGATACAGAAATGAGTAAAAAATTTAGATTAGGAAATTGAAAACAGATCGAAATGGGTGGCAATACTCAAGATCAGGACAAGGAGGTTGACCAGGGAGTCAGAGAAATTATCGACAGCTTGAAATCAAAAGGCCTCTTTGACCAGTTCAGAAAGGAGTTTGTGGCTGATGTAGATACAAAGGTTAATTTTTATACATTTCTTTTAAAATGTTGTACAACTTTATCTTTATATTGTCTTTATATAATCATGATGTCGCTGGTATTGGCAAAACTGACTTAAGATTAGGTTTCCCATCACTTTTTTCTGCAATGAACAGATCTGCCTACAGGCACAGTCTCTTGATTTAGCTATATGGCTTGAATGGCCTTTTTTAATTAATTAAAAAAAAAACTGTCACTGAATCAAAGTGCAATTTTTTATACATACTGAAAAGATGCACATTTAAGGGAAAAGTATGCTAAAATAGCTAAATCAAGCTATTTTGAAAAGCTAAATCAAGCTATACAACTCAAGCTCGCTATGCTCGCGAAACTCACTGGTTGTTGTTTACCTTGTTTTATGGATAAAACTGCCGACTCCTATGATATAAACAAGAGAAGTATGCTGTAATTTTAAGAGATTGAGAAGATGTTCTATTAATCTTTAAATGTTTTTTTTTTTGGCATTTTATTGCGATATGAATTACATGAGATGTGCATAAAATCCAATAGGTCATGTTAGCACAGTAAATCAATTTATAGCATGCTAATATCATAATTATCATGCTATATGAATGATGCAACATTTCATTTCACTGACACATGACATGCAGGTAGCTGTAGTATAGAAAATTGTTTTGTTTTGATGGCTGGTTCGTTTAAACATTTGTACATTGACTTATCAAAATATTTTACAAAACTAACAAAAGACAATATTATAATTGCATTAGACTATAATTTAATTTTATCATTGAAACTCAAGATTTTGTGTCAATTAATTAATTTGTGTTTTACAGCCTGCTTACCAGAATCTCAAACAGAGAGTGGAAGGTTATGTCAACAGGTTTTTATCACGACAGACATGGAGCCCAGACTTAAACAAGAATCAACTCCGAGACAATCTTAGAAGACAAATAAATCAGTAGGTTTCTACTGCGCATTGCAGATTTGAACTTGGCAATCATTTGGGAAGGCATGAAAGAAAAAAAATCGTGATTTGTTTATTTCAGATCTGGTATGTTGACCAATGGAGTAGAAAGAGTGGTAGAACAACTAGTGAATCCAAAGATTCTGCACATTATCAAACCCAAAATTGATGAGGTCATTTGTAAACATTTGGGAATTGACCCAGAGAAGAGGAAAGAACATGTAGAACAGAGCAAACAGCAACACAAGGAAAAGATGCAGACGATGCAGAGTTTAATGTCTGTAAACACCACACCACCAGGTTTGTGTTAATGTCAGTGAACACCACACCACCAGGATTGTGGAACTTCTGATTTGACAAAAGTTAGGGGCATACTTAGAAATTTTGCTAAAATAAATACCATAAATGCTCATGGTTAAAAACAAAAGATACAGTCCTTACATGTTACCTATTTCCTAACCGCAGACACTGTCTTATGTAAAAGATGACAATTTCAGTGTAATTATTACATATATATGTACAAAAAAGGAAAACTCTTTGAAACATGTATTGGACCATCATACTCTCATGGCAATTCATGTATAGTCAGAATGCAAATTTTATATACTATTCTAGTAAATAACACAATAAATGTGATTAAAAATTCCAGATAAAAGTAATCCAAATGGAACAGCATCAGGCACTCCTAATGCAGAATTCCCATCAGGTTTCCAAGGAGATGGATGGTCCCAACAAACACCTGTTTTGGGCCAAACAGGGTCAAATTTCTCCCCTGGAGGAATGAATTTTCCTATGGCAACACCATTTTCACAGCAGTTTGGATTCAGCATGCCACCTCAAATGTTCCCTTACATGCAGAATTCATGGAACAACTACATGTTCAACCAAATGACCCCTGGCCAAAATTTTGCTCCACCCACCTCTATGCAAAGTGAGACATCATCACCGGCGCAGATCACAACTCCCAATGTAACGACTACTGAGAGTCCTCCTAAACCAGATTTACCTCCCTTACCACCATCACCTAAAACTCCTCCCCCTCCAGGAACTGAAGGGGAGGAAGTGGAGGTATTTTCTCTCAAGAGCAAGCCAGATGAAACCAAGATTCTGGAGGAAATTCCCCTTCCACCATCAACCAAAGAGACAGAAGAGGCTGAGGAAGAAATTACTGTTGAAGAGATGACTGAGATTCCAAGTTTGGATGAAATCCCATTACCACCAGTATCAGCTGATATGGATGATTCCTCTCAAGAACAAGGTAAACTATTTGATTAAAGGCCACTGACTCTCTGATATGCATTTCAAAGTTTCTCAGGCCCTAAAGGGAAAAAAAACCCCTCAAAAACGCTTTAGCGGGATGTTTAAAAAAAAACAACAATGTTCACTTGTAGGATGTTTGATGTATGAAATAACATGAATTTTAATGAGATCTATTCTAAAAACTGGGAAGAATTAAGTCTCAGGGATTTTTTTAGGGTCTCTCTGGGGCCGAAATTCGGCCCCATTCCCAATGCTGAAAAGTGCATGTTTTTCCCAAAATCATACCTAAAAATTCCCAATATGAAAAAAAGTATTAAGTTATAAATTATTAAAATAAAATAATGACAAAAAGGTGTTTATGTTCTCTATGTGCGATGTACGAGCCATCCGAGGACTTCCGAGAAGTTATTCGGAATACTATGAATGTTTACATGCATACTTTTTAAAGCGGGATCGATGTTTAAAAATTAAAGTCGGGATCGTTATCGAAAGAATAAACGTGCATCATGTCAGTCTCTCCAGTTTGCCTAGGACGGTAATTTTCAGGCTGGGTTCAATCGCTCTAATTCTTATAAATTGGTCAAACAATACCGATTAACCACTCATCTGGAACAAACCCACTATCAAATGTTATTTTAAAGAACTTCTTACATAAAGGTAAAAAAGATGACAACGTATATATATGTTCATTTACAATGTTATCATACCCTGCAGCTTTGCCATTTTTAAGTTTTTGAACTTCAACAGCCGCTATTATTTCATATCACTAAAGCTGGTTTAAGCCAGCTTCATACTTTAAAAAAAAAAGAAGAAAAATGATTAAATATTTGACTTTGGCTTGTTTTTTCCTATTTATTTGTATGAAGATATTTTTCCCAATTTCAACCAAATATCGCTATTTTTCCCAATCTTGACAGCCCCGGCCCCTGGAATCAAAGGGTAAAAAAATCCCTGAGTCTACACCATAGTACATGTTCTGCAAATTCTTGTAAAATCTGTGTTTCAGTAATGAAAAAATACAAATTTGCCTGGCATGAGGATCAAGAAGACGCCAAGTCTGATGTGACAATCAGCTCTGTTCACACCAGTGACCTGTCCATTTCCGAGGATTTCATGTCAGAGAGTGAGCTTGAGTACAGTGATCTGACGGACCATGGAGAGGAGGAGACAGAGGAGAAGGTCCTCAGTCCTGGTAAAACGGAGGAGAAGAAACCAGAGACGGGGGGCACTGAGGAGGTGGAGAAGAAAGAAGGAGAGGAGAGTGGAGCAAAGGAAGTGGATGAAGAAAAGGAGCAAGTCAAAGTGGAAGAAACCAGTACGTATTGATTATTTCCAGTTTCTAAAAAAGTCTTCCAGCTGATCAATCATTTAAAAAAAGAAATTTTCAATCTTTTTTTTCCTGCCTCTCTGTTATAATTTTTTACCAGTATTTAATACAGTAAAGCCTAATTGTAAGTTAAGATTATGATTGTTAATTTTATCAGAATTTCTAAGTAATTATTTTTCTTTAAAATCTGAAGTTGAGGCAACACCAGAGGAAAAGAGGGAGGATTCACCTACACAAGCTGATGTTCCAATGGAGATCACCCAGGCAGAGGTGAAAACTCTTGAGGTACTAAAGACAAGTGAGGCTCCTGAGGGGGAACTGAGCTCTCCACCAAAGAGGAAGCTGATCTCTCTCCAGTACAACTTGAGTGACAGTGAGGAAGAAGAAAGTAGAGAGGAGAGGAAGGCTAGAATTGTAGGTTTTATTTTATAAAGAGTTGATTTCAATATTTATGCTTTATACAGAGTAGTGGAATATTGCTAAATACTGAGGTGGGTAGGTCAAGATATTGAAATAAAAAATTGTATTACAAACCTTGAAATATCCAGGGACTAAATATAAGTACTGACATATGCATTGGATGTACCAGTATGCAATATCAAGTAGAACGCATATGCATGGAAATGTAGAACGCTCCAATCAAGGGCACAGCAAAGTAAAACGTCCCTTTGCAAAAAAAGCCCACTGATCCAAATGAAAATCATTACTTCCATTACGCACATGTTCACTCATTCATACTCTCAAAAGTGCATTTCTGTATCCCCTCCAACTTTCTTGTGAGGGGATAATAAATACTACAAATTTAGACAATTGATACTATTTCTACTGGTAGTATGAGAAGACACTTATAAATCTTTATTTTGATCAAAATAGGCAAAGGAAAAAGAAGAAAGATACACAAAAAGACTGCAGAGAAGAGCAGAGCTAGAGGCCAAGAGGAAAGAGAGAGAAGAGGAGAAAGCAAGACTGCGAGAAGAAAGGAAGAAACAGAAGGAAAAAGAAAAGTCCTCACCAGTCAAGAAAGAGGGTAAGGTTTGAAGACTCCATCATTGAGAGCATCCTCAAAGGCATAATTACCATGTACATGTAACGACTCTTCTTCCCTGTTTATACAGGGATATCAGATATCTTCTATTGTTTCATTATTTTCCAAGTTGATTTCAAAGTTTCTGTTCCCCCTCCACAGATGATAGGTTTCATGAAAGACCTACGTGTATAGATTCATGTATTACAAAGAAATGTTTACTAATTACCAGTAGTAGTAATTAAAACATCCTTGTATTGTATAATTCACTGATTAGGAGAGTCGGAGGATACAGAAAAAAAGCAGGATGAAACACCAAGCCAGGGTAAAGCACAATCTCCAACAAAAAAAGTACCTGACTCTCCGGAGAAAAAGAAAAGGAAGACAAAGGCAGAGCTGAAAGAGGAACTCACTAAACAAAAAGTGATGGAGAAGAAGGCCGCCCTAAGACGACAAAGAACCAGAAACAGGAGGTATGTTAGTGATGGCTGAAAATATTTTATAATATCATATACATGTATAGTGAAGGGCTGATGTGGCTAATTTTAGCAACAGAATTATGATTAACAAGATTGTGTTAGCCAGTAATGAAGATTATATTTTCTGTTCAGTTTTGATACTTGTATTTCCTGCAATCATTTGTGATTATAACTTCAATAAAATCTTTTTAACTTGAAATAGAAACTTACATGTACAGTGCATGTAGTACATCCACTAAATTGACTTCAATACAGAAACATTGTTTGATATAAACCCCAACTTTAAGTTCTAATAATTAGGCAAGATATTTATTTATCAGTCAATATGTGGAGGTGCATGTGTTGTTGGTATGAAATTCATTTACATCTGAAAAATAAAAGCTGTTCAAACAGTGGTTTGCTATTCAAATACACATACTTAAAGATGATGAAAATTTTATACTGCTTCAATATTGTTGTGACTAACATTGGGATAACTCGTACATTCTAACATTGTACAGGTATGCCTCTGAGGATTTTACCTCCATCTTTAATGAAAAGAGTCAGCCCTACACCAGTGCTAGCTATTCTGAGGTGGTTATGGAGGAGCAGGTCGTTGAGGAAGTGGTGACAGTGGAGGAAGAAATCATCATGGACGTCTCCAGCACAGGTAGATATAACACGCTCACCTCAAAGATAATTATTTGTATTGGTTCATTTTGGCTCCAAAAGGTAATATACATGTACATGTATATAGAAAAATAGATCTCAAAATTCTTTTGGGTTTTTGCTGCAGCTTTTTATTAGCTCACCTGAGCCGAAGGCTCAAGTGAGCTTTTCTGATCACATTTTGTCCATCGTCCGTCCGTCCGTCTGTCCGTCTGTCCGTCTGTCTGTCTGTCTGTCCGTCCGTCTGTAAACTTTTCACATTTTTGACTTCTTCTCAAGAACCACTGGGCCAATTTTGACCAAACTTGGTACAAAGCATCCTTTGGTAAAGGGGAATTTAAATTGTTAAAATGAAGGGCCAAGTCCCCTCACAAGGGGAGATAATCAAGAGAAGACAAAAATAGGGTGGGGTCATTAAAAAATCTTCTTCTCAAGAACCACTGGTCCAAAAAAGCTGAAACTTATGTGGAAGCATCTTGGGATAGTGTAGATTCTAAATTGTTAAAATCATGACCCCCGGGGGTAGGGCGGGGCCACAATAGGGAATCCAAGTTTTACATTGAAATATATAGGAAAAATCTTTAAAAATCTTCTTCTCAAGAACCACTGGGCCAGAAAAGCTGAAACTTATGTGCAAGCATCCTGGGGTAGCGTAGATTCTAAATTGTTAAAATTATGACCCCTGGGGTTAGGGCGGGGGCACAATAGGGAATCCAAAGTTTACATTGTAATATATATGAAAAATCTTCTTCTCAAGAACCACTGGGCCAGAAAAGCTGAAAATTATGTGGAAGCATGCTGGGGTAATGTAGATTCTAAATTGTTAAAATCATGACCCCCGGGGGTGGGGCGGGGCCACAATAGGGAATCCAAGTTTTACATTGAAATATATAGGAAAAATCTTTAAAAATCTTCTTCTTAAGAACCACTGAGCCAGAAAAGCTGAAACTTACGTGGAAGCATCCTGGGGTAGCGTAGATTCTAAATTCTTAAAATCATGACCCCCGGGGGTAGGGCGGAGCCACAATTGGGAATCCAAGTTTTACATTGAAATATATAGGAAAAATCTTTAAAAATCTTCTTCTCAAGAACCACTGGGCCAGAAAAGCTGAACTTTATGTGGAAGCATCCTGGGGTAGTGTAGATTCTAAATTGTCAAAATCATGACCCCCGGGGGTGGGGCGGGGCCACAATAGGGAATCCAAGTTTTACATTGTAATATATAGGAAAAATCTTTAAAAATCTTCTTCTCAAGAACCACTGGGCCAGAAAAACTGAAACTTATATGGAAGCATCCTGGGGTAGTGTAGATTCTAAATTGTTAAAATCATGACCCCCGGGGGTAGGGCGGGGCCACAATATGGAATCCAAAGTTTACATTGTAATATATAAGAAAAATCTTTAAAAATCTTCTCAAGAACCACTGGGCCAGAAAAGCTGAAAATTATGTGGAAGCATCCTGGGGTAGTGTAGATTCTAAATTGTTAAAATCATGACCCCAGGGGGTGGGGCGGGGCCACAATAGAGAATCCAAGTTTTACATTGATATATATAGGAAAAATCTTTAAAAATCTTCTTCTCAAGAACCACTGAGCCAGAAAAGCTGAAAATTATGTGGAAGCATCCTCGGGTAGTGTAGATTCTAAATTGTTAAAATCATGACCCCCGGGGGTAGGGCGGGGCCACAATAGGGAATCCAAAGTTTACATTGTAATATATAGGAAAAATCTTCTTCTCAAGAACCACTGAGCCAGAAAAGCTGAAAATTATGTGGAAGCATCCTGGGGTAATGTAGATTCTAAATTGTTAAAAGCATGACCCCCGGGGGTGGGGCGGGGCCACAATAGGGAATCCAAGTTTTACATTGATATATATAGGAAAAATCTTTAAAAATCTTCTTCTCGAGAACCACTGAGCCAGAAAAGCTGAAACTTATGTGGAAGCATCCTCGGGTAGTGTAGATTCTAAATTGTTAAAATCATGACCCCCGGGGATAGGGCGGGGCCACAATAGGGAATCCAAGTTTTACATTGTAATATATAGGAAAATTCTTTAAAAATCTTCTTCTCAAGAACCACTGGGCCAGGAAAGCTGAAACTTATGTGGAAGCATCTTGGGGTAGTGTAGATTCAAAATGTTAAAATCATGACCCCCGGGGGTAGGGCGGGGCCACAATAGAGAATCCAAGTTTAACATTGAAATATATAGGAAAAATCTTTAAAAATCTTCTTCTCAAGAACCACTGGGCCAGAAAAGCTGAACCTTATGTGGAAACATCCTTGGTTAGTGTAGATTCTAATTGTTCAAATCAGGACCCCCTGGGGTAGGGCGGGGCCACAATAGGTATTTCAAGGGGAAATTTGGTAAAGAACAGCATGGCCAAAGTTACTCAGGTGAGCGATGTGGCCCATGGGCCTCTTGTTTCAAAGAGAATATGAAAATATTTGACAAGATAAAATGCTCCAAGTATTATTATCCTTTTAACAAGTACTGCCTATCATGAAGTTTTTCTTTTGTTTGGAGACATTTAAAATGGCTTATTGTATACATGCATGTACTGTAAGAGATGCATGTATTAGTGATAACAATCAAAGATTTAATCTAAATTAAAGTAAATTATTAATTATATAAGGAATAAGGGTATTTTCAATTTATTATCAGTTGAAGAGGATATGCCACCACTGCCAGAGGAGGAGTTCCCCCCTCCCACACTTCCTCCACAGAATTCATCAGACACTACAGAGGTCACACCAGAGACAGGTCACTCAGAGTCAAAGAAAAGGTCACAGGTCAAGGACACTCAGAGAGACGGTAAAACAGACGAAAACAGACAAGATAACAAGAGGAAACGACAAGATAGTGAAACAAAGTAAGATTATTTTTGTTTATTTGAATATTCATTTATTTTTTTTTGGTAATAATCTGTTTTGTAGTAGTGGGTAAGGTGTGAAGGGTTTCCTCCATTATTCTATGTAATCTTCTTCTTTTAGTTCTCTTCAAGCTTTCATTTTCTCTTCCTCCAAAGTTTCCAATTGTACATGTATAAGATATGACATTTACATGTTTTAAATTATCCCAATGCTCATTAAGTAAATACAAGATTTCTTGGAAGCTAAGAAACCGAGAAAATATTAAGGAGCAAAAATGTAATTATATTTGTATCCAGTGAAGGCAAGTTAGAGATTTAATGTCAGTTATCAGTAGATCAAGAAATATAAACTCTTTATTTCGAAAATGATATTTGCCTGTACTTCCTGTATTACTAATACTATTTAATTGTGCGGTCCCATATGTCATTTAAACACTTTTGGAAGAAATGCATGATAGGACTAGTAAACTCTGTTTGTATAAATGTTTACTAGGCCAACTAGGGACACTAGAGCATCCAATAAACACACAGATTCCGTGTTCAGACGACCAAGGTACGTACAAGGGGATGCACTGTATTCCTAAACACATTAACAGATTCAGGAATGAAACTCATAGGTCATGCAAATACCTGTGTATGTATATATAGTTGTGATTTCTGATAGTAAGACATACTTATCATGTAGATAATTACATGCTCTTTATTCCCCATTGTTTAGAATTTGTTGATAAATCATTTTGCACTTATCATGTAGAAAATTACATGCTCTTTATTCCCCATTGTTTAGAATTTGTTGATAAATCATTATGCACATATTTAGATTCAATGTTGTTGATTTGTTAATATTTTTGTGGCGTGATCATGCACAAATATAATTCCCATCTCCTCAATGGTTGTAAGTATATGTGGATTATAACAGCTTCTTTTTTTGTTTAAGTTACCATATTTGGTTGTTCTTTTTTCTCTTTTATTTTTTTTTTCTTGTTGGAAAATTTCATTCAACTACATGTATGTAAAAACAAAATGTATGATATTTTTAAATAATTTTTTAGGTACCAGAATTGAGTAATAAGCAATGCTTTAATTACTTAATCATTACGAACAAAAAATGTAATGTATTAAGAACTTCAAAGTAAATGCGTACTTGTTTGCAACAATTTAGAAAAACATTAACATGTGTTTTCTTTGTTGAATCTTTCAACTTTATCTTTATCACAATTTAATAATAATCAATGATACATGTAAAAAAGAACAGCCAAATGACTTCTTCAAGAAGTTATTTTAATGTTAACATGTTATTATGTGTCTAACTCTGCAGCATTTATTTGTTTTATTTACCCTAAGTAAGGGTTTTAAGTACATGTGTATATTGTATTCACGATTTTGTCATTGTGCCAACTGCAGATACAGATTGGCCTAGTTTTGTTCTATTTTTAGTTTGCTGACATTGGAATGACCTTGTTCGTCTGTCTGCTGATCTTGTCTATCTTATGAAATCTTTTTTTCAGGATTTATGTACAGTTTCTCATAATTTTAAGGCAATATCTTGAAATTTTTGATTTCCTATCTAAAAGATCTTTTCAGTAAGTACCAGTGTAGGTGTATCACACAATTTAAAAAAAAAAAAGTTTTAAATTACTCGGTTGTCCTAAGTTGCAAAGACATTTGGATCTTTGGAGAAAAATTATCTTATTATTCATGTATAGTTTACATTTTTCAATATGTTTAGCAGAGATACATGATATTCAAAGCTTATCAGGTAACTGAATCAGATGAATTCTGGTTTTAAATGGTATATTTAGTCAAGTATTATCCATAGATAAACCAGCTGTCCATTTATATGGTCCATTAATGATGTCTTGTACATTGTAAATAAAATACAAGAAAATCGAAACATGATAACCTTAGCTTCTGTTCAACAAAACTTGATCAACATTGACACCTCTATTCACTGACATTAATCTGTTGAACCTAAAAAAAAACGTGTTTAGGTATAAATTGCGATGAATATAAAAAATAACAATAGTGGAATATCCCGGTATTGTGATTTTGGACTAGCATGGTCTTGAACTTGTTATCTTTGAGTAGTATTAGTCCTGTGTTGGAAAACCTTATTTCATTTTGAATTACTTTAAAATTAATGTTTAAGGTAATCTTGAATATATATATTGGAATAAACTAGAGCCTTTATTGTTGAAAAATTGTATGATTTAAAATGGATTGCAATTTACATTGTATAATTGCCAAATACATGTAGGTCATGAATATTAATTTAATAATTTATACACTGTATAGACTTTCTTTTATTCATCACAAATCTCACAATTCCCTTCTATGATTTCAGAGTGGAAGATGACAAAGGTCAGAGTACTAAGCGTTACAATCCCTCCGATTTATACAAACCACGTCCTAACATTGCTCGGAGCAGAAGACGAGGTTCCTCTCCGTCTCAACAAAAAGCAGACGACACTGTGAATAAAACATCCTCGGCTGGTGATAGCAAAACCACGAAAGAGGACAAACCAGCTGTTAATGAGGAACCACCAGAAGTTATAGAAATTGAATCTAGGTCACCCTCACCAGTCAGTTCAGGGTCAAGATCGAGGTCAAGTTCACGTTCGAGAACTCACTCAAGGTCACGATCTCATTCACATTCTCGATCTAGATCTCATCGAAAGAAAAGAAGAAAAGGAAGATCAAGGTCAGGTTCAAGGTCATATTCTGAATCCAGATCAAGATCTCCATCCAAATCCAGATCCAGGTCATATTCTAGAACCAGGGATGGAGCAAGTCCTATCTCATCCTCATCCTTATCTCTGTCAAGGTCACCTTCACCATCCAGACACAGTAGTAGATCATCCTACTCCAGATCCAGAAGTAAAACTAGGTCAAGGTCAGTATCTAGGTCATCCGAGTCTTCTGTTGACGAGTTTGGAAGACGCAAGAGAAAAGCAGGAAGGAGGCCACTTGAAGAGATTGATTTTGGGGAGGCAGCTCGCATGGCCAAGAAAAGTTTGGTTGGGGTGGACTTTGGGGAGGCAGAGAGGAGAAGTAAACAAGAGAGGTAAACTTTGAGTTATAAAAAATCTGTTAGTAATCTGATTTATCTATAATTATAATAAAGCTGTAGATCTGTTACCTACTGGTATTCAAAAGAAAAAAACACACAAAACAATGAAATGGATGTTCAGATAGCTAGAGTTCCACACAGTTAACAGTGTGTGTAACACAGAAAAAAATCTGAGCTTCGTTTAATAATTAAATCCATGGTTGACCACCCCCAGTCTGTCACAGATCTGCAGTTGTTTTCAGTTTTGGCAGAATTTTTTTTAAGATATTTAATGAATTTTTCAGTAGTTTTGAAGACCAAAAAGGAAATACATGTACCTTTACAATATTTTAGGATTTAGAGGACTTTCATCGAATAACTCTAGAATACAGTGTAAATGATGAAACATGGAAAGTTGTCACAATGCCTAAATAGGAAATTAATAATTTGAAACCTACATCTAATATCTGTACAAAGGTAGCATGGAGACAGAGATATAATATCTCATGATATCAACAATAACGTATCAGTAATCAGAAATTTAAAGAAGGATTTCAAGGAAAGAATAGATATTTAAAATTGTGTTATGTATAACCTGCAGTCAGTGTAGGTTGTAAATGAATTCAGTTACTGGCATATTTTAATGTTGAAATGCAGTCCTTTTGCCATACTGTTATTATTACATGTACATTATTTAGAAAAGTGCACCGTACATTTTGAAGAAGCCAGATTCTTACACCGTAGAATAATAAAATTTGAAATTAAACTTTATGAACTGAGATTTTGACCCATGCACATTGTATTTACAGAGGGGACTCATCCAATACGACAAAAGCTACTGAATTTGCACCCTTCAAGTGAGTTCAAGGGTTTCAGTAGCCACTACCATCTCAGAATTTGATGTTTATTTTGTATTAGTTTACTGGGGATTTGAATGCACTTTTCTGTGATTAAAATTTTCAAATTGGAACATCAACATCTGATAGTGGTAGGCATTGATTTAACAAATTCCCATCAGTTTACAACAAATGTGTGTACAATGTTCAAATGTGTGTACAATGTTTTAATGTTGTATCCATTTAGATTTAATTAGACAGAGAAAAAAAATTATGTTCAGAATGAAGAGCAAAATCCAGTTTAATGTATACAGAAACACCTTTTAATATAGGGGAATGCAAAATGCACTACAAGAAAGATGGTGTTCAATGAGTATGTTTATTTCCCCCTTGAAGATTTTTTGTGTGATTAATTAAAGCTGACTTGAGCCAAAGGCTCAAATTAAAAAGAGCTTTTCTGATCAAAATTTGTCCGTTGTCTGTTGTCGTCATTGTTGTTGCAAACTTTTCACATTTTAGTCTTCTTCTCCAGAATATCAATCCATGTTACATGAGTCCAGAGTATTGGTTTGAGTTTGATCATAGGCTTAGAAATTCACAATTCTCAAGTGACTGTCAGGGCTCATGAGCTCTTGTTTTTTAGCTCATGAGCTGAAAGCCCAAATGAGCTTTTCTGATCACCCATTGTCCATCTGTCTGTCTATCTGTCCGTCTATCCATCCGCCTGTAAACTTTTCACATTTTTAACTTCTCAAGAACCATTGGGCCAATTTTAACCAAAGTTGGTTCAAAGCATCCCTGAGTGAATGGGATTCTAAATTGTTAAAATAAAGGGCCAGACCTCCATCCAAGGGGAGATAATAAAGAAAAGGCAAAAATAGGGTGGGGTCATTAAAAATCTTCTCAAGATCCACTGGACCAGAAAAAGTTAAACTAATGTGAAAGTTTCCTAAGATAATGTAGATTCTAAATTGTTCAAATCATGTCCCCTCGGGGTAGGATGGGGCACCTTAGGGAATCAAAGTTTTCCATTGAGATATATAGGAAAAAAGATTAAATCCTCTTCGCAAGAACCACTGGACTAGAAAAGCTGAAACTTATATAGAATCTTCCTGATGTAGTGTAGATTCTTAATTATTCAAATTGTTGTGCCCTGGGGGTAGGGTGGGGTCACAATAGAGAATCAAAGTTTTACATTGAAATATATGGGAAAAATCTTTATAAATCTTCTTCTCAAGAACCATTGGGTCAGAAAAAGTGAAACTTACATGGAAGCTTTCTTAGGTAGTGTAGATTCTAAATTTTTAGCTCTACTGGTCAGAGACCAGAAGAGCTTATGCGATAGTAAGGTGTCCGGCGTCCGTCCGTCTGTCTGTCCGTCTGTCCGTCTGTCTGTAAACAATTTTTCAAAACGCTACTCCTACTACAGTTTTGGTCTGATTTTAATATAACTTGGCACACAAGTAGACTACACTAAGATACATAATTTAGTGCATGGGTTTTTGATTTCGATGAACGGTGTTGCCATGGTTATTAAAAATAGAAATTTCAGTGAAATACTTTTAAAATGCTACTCCTCCTACAGTTTGGTCTGATTTCAATATAACTTGGCACACAAGTACACTACACTAAGATACATAATTCTCTATATCAGTTTCTGATTTTGATGAACGGTGTTGCCATGGTTACTAAAAATAGAAATTTCTGTGAAATTCCTTTAAAACGCTACTCCTCCTACAGTTTTGGTCTGATTTAAATATAACTTGGCACACAAGTAGACTACATTAAGATACATAATTTATTGCATCGGTTTTTGATTTTGATGAATGGTGTTGCCATGGTTACTAAAAATAGAAATTTCTTTGAAATTCTTTTAAAACCCTCCTCCTCCTACAGTTTTGGTCTGATTTCAGTATAACTTGGCACACAAGTAGACTACATTAAGAGACATGATTTAGTGCATCAGTTTTTGATATTGATGAATGGTGTTGCCATGGTTACTTAACATATAAATTTTTGTGAAATTCCTTTAAAACGTTACTCCTCCTACAGTTTTGGTCTGATTTCAATATTACTTGGCACACAAGTAGACTACACTAAAATACCTAATTCAGTGCATCAGTTTTTGATTTCGATGAATGGTGTTGCCATGGTTACTAAAATTAGAAATTTCTGTGAAATTCTTTTAAAAGGCTACTCCTCCTACAGTTTTTATTTGATTTCAATATAACTTTGCACACAAGTAAACTACATTAAGATACATAATTCTATTTATTGCTGCATGTTGCAAAGTTTCAAATCCAAGTGCTACTTTTTCTTGTACAGACCAGTAGAGCTACAGTCTCATCAGAGACTTCTGGTTCAAATTGTGTCCCCTTGAGGTAGGGTGGGGCCACAATAGGGAATCAAAGTTTAACATTGAAATATATAGGAAAAATCTTTAAAAATCTTTTTTTCAAGGTTCACTAGGCCAGAAAAGCTGAAACTTATGTGGAAGCTTTCTAAGGTAGTGTAAATTTCAAATTGATCAAATCATGGCCCGCTGGAGTAGGGTGGGGCCACAACAAGGAATCAAAGTTTTATATTGAAAGATATATAGGAAAAATCTTTTGAAATCTTCTTCTTGAAAACCACTGGAACAAAAAAGCCGAAACTTAGGTGAAAGCTTTCTTAGGTTGTTTGTATATTGGGGAAAAAATCAGATGCAGAACAGCAGGGCCAAAGTGATTCAGGTGAGCATTGTGGCCCATGGGCCTCTTGTTGATGTATAATTGTATTTTGTTGATGTATGAAATCTTTAATATTTGAAATACTGTGAACAAATTCTCAGTTAAGTATTTAAAAATGGTATGTATATGCTTCACATCTGAGCAGTTTTCAAATGACTGCACTTTAATGCTTAATACCTCCTATTCTCAGAATCTATTAAATGATTAATAGACATACAGTAAAACACAGTTATAATGAATTCACTCTTTCAGTGAAGTGATTTTCAGTACACATGGTTTAAGGCAGTTTTAAAATGAATTGTTATCTCAATGGATATATTAAGTAATTACATTTATAACAAATCAACTTCGCTATAAGGAATCCTTGATTTACTTTCTTAATATTTTGAGATGATGATATCAAACATAAATTTTTAACACTTTGGAAATTATTTTTTAAAGTATTTATAATTACTCTGTATTAATGAATTGCTAACTTTATTTAACTTTGGTGTAGGAATAGTTTAAAGCAATAATTTATCACTATCCAAAGCAATCATAAAATATCAGCACGTTAATTGATTGCTACATATGTGTCTGAGGTCTAATCTTCATGTCATGACATTTTTAAATGCCCATGTGAGCTTTCATCATTTTAATGAGTTTTTTTTTTTATTTTTATAGGACTGTTCCCCCATTTGGTGCCCCTCCACCACCTGGTGCCATGCCCCTAGTGGACCCTGCCATGAAAAAGTATGTTCTATTTCTTATCACAGTACTTGACATCTTTTCACACAGGCACATCATCAAATTCATTTATGAATTACATTCTGATTTTATAGACGAATGGGAAAAAAGCGGGGATACCCGCCCACCAGAGGTGTCCCAAGGAGCAATGCACTTCGTGGAAACTGGTACCATCAAGCTTGGCAGTACGAAGACACCTCCATGGAGGAGGAGATGGTCATGCCCCCTTCTCCCTCCCGGCGATACTATGCCCCTGACAGGTCACCACTACATTATGATGACCTTGATTCTCTTTCTCCAGATTCCATGGGGAGACATTCTCCTAGCATGATGAGGCATCCCAGACGTGCAGCCTCCCCTTCACCTCCTCCTTATGGAATACCTCGAGGAATGAGGGGAATGTCAAGGTCACCTTCTCCTCCCTATCATCCCCGTAGACACTCACAATCAATGTCACCCCCTCCTTATGCAGGAAGACCTGGAAGTTATTCCCAATCTCCCTCTCCACCTCCATACATTGGGAGACCTATGAGGCACTCAAGATCCCCCTCCCCTCCTTATGGTGGACGTCCGATGAGGCATTCACAGTCTCCATCCACTTCTCCTCCCTATTTAGGCAGAAGACAGAGGTCACCTTCTCTACCATATGCAAGAAGACCTCCATCACCCTATGATGGATCCCTCCCATCTCCTCCAGTTCGAGGAACGAGAGGTCACAGACCCCCTTCTCCTCCTTCACCATCATATAGGGCATTGTCTCCAGAGGGGAGGGTACGTACTCGAAGTCAGAGGTCACAATCACCCACTTATTCATCCTCACACAGAGGGAGACCCTCACCTTCACCACCTTTAGATGAGGAAGCCCCATCACCCCCTGAATACTCTCCCCCACCACTATCCCCCACAGGGTCAGCCTATAGGTCTCCATCACCACCCCCATTATCTCGACTCCCTAGATCTCCCTCACCCCCACACCGTCCTGTGACCAGAGCATACCACTCTCCTTCAAATTCCCCTTCCCCTCCACCCATGCGACCTGTCACACCTCCCTCTCGTCCATTGACTCGTGGCCAGAGGGCAGTATCCCCTCCCTTATTGTTCAGTCCTAAGACCAGGAAGCAGAGGCCTCCGTCTCCCCCTCCTGCAGCTATGTCCTCCCGGTCATTACGAGCCAAGCACAATGCTCCTCAGAGGTATTCCCCTCCCCCATTGCAGAGGATGAGACCCAGACCACAATCTCCACCACCAGCCAAAAGAGGGAAACGATGATTGACTTACAGATTTACTGAATTAACCTGTATAGATGATCAACATGTGTTCTTTAAATTTAACTTTACAATAAGTTATCAAAAGAAACATCAAAATTGTACAGACTGATTAAATTAAAATGTACAGTAAAATATGTTTTCTAGGGAAAAGAAGATTGACCTGAGTTCAAATATTTCAATTAGTAAGCTTAACAATTGAATACACATGAAATGTATGAAGAATGTTGTTAATTGAATATAATGTATTTATATTCTGTAAAATGCAGTAAATTAATGAGGAAAATTGCATCAATTACTTTGTCATTGATTCTGATGAATTGTATGTGTATCTTTATTGATGATCTGGAACGCAAAAAATTCAAGATAAACTCAAATTTTATATATCTGATTTGATTTGATTAGGTAAACGAAACACGTTTTAAAAATACGATCCAACAACAGATGGTATTATTATATCGACTATGGAACCTATAACAATGACTTATTTGTCAGTAACCTGCCTCGGTTAAAAATTGGTCATACTTGGAACACTCTCCAGTTTTGATGCATAAACACCATAAGCTTACTGGAATATAACTGCATGAATAGGGGAAGTTGGCAGCAGAAAAGTTGTATGAAGTTGTCACTTATGACCTATTGCTTAGTTTAGTTGGCAATTAACGTCTTTAATCGAAAGCTTTCATTCAGAAGCTGGTGTGATGAGTTACTGTGTAATTGATAAGTCTTTGCATGTGTTTGTCATTTATACAGCTGATTTAAAGCGACACTGTGACGCACAAACGGGAAAATTGACAGAGAATTTTTGCATGACCCGTGCAAATTTTGTTCAATTCCTGAAAGTATTAGGTTTCTGAAAATTACACGTTTGGAAACCTAAAAAATCTATTTTTATGGAGAAAAAAATAATTTCTGTATGGCCCAACACGAAAATATTGCTTTACTTTTTTCCTCCTTATTGTACGTGTGCGCAGAAAAGTTGAAGAAGTTACCATGGTCTTAAAGTCAGACTTATAAGGCTGGGAAAAACGTGTATTAAGCGTGTACACACGGTAAGGCTAGAACTTAAGTTTCATGACATACGGCAAGCCTTACCGTGTGTACCGGCCCTTAAGTACCAAAAAATGAATGTCGGTAGACCAAGAAGTTTGATGCAATCTTCAAATAAAAAGAGATTATTAGAACATATTTCTCACCTTTGCATGCTCCGATTGAATGTTGTTTACAAATTTATGCTAAAAATAAAAGAGGCGTGACCTTGACATGCACGATAACTACGAAACGGTAAATACAATGAAATATTAAGATAACGAACAGTATTCAATCTCGAAAGTCCAATGAAACGATACGAATTTGGAGAAGAGCAAACACGGACCTCAAAATTTAGAGGTGGGATCAGGTGCCATGGAGGAGTGAGCATCCCCTGCCGACGTGACACCCGCCGTGTGCTCCTTGTCATCATCGGGAAACAAAAACCGGAAATGTCCGTAGACAGTTCAGTGTATAAATAATGGCCTAACAATTAGTATGAAAAACGTCAGTCAGCATTTGACTCAATGACAGGTTGTATGTGCTGACAAGGTCATTGTATCGACCAAAAAACTTGCGAAAAGATGATTTCAAACGAGACTGTTGATATCCTTGTTTCGTCAACTTGTTTGTCAGTAGCTTGCCTTGTTTCAGAAATTGTTTATACGTAGAGCATGCTCTCAACTGAGAGACATAAACCCCATATGCAGGTGATAAGGGTATATTGCTACATAAGTAAGGGAAGCTGACGATTGAAAAGTTAAGGTAGTCACGTTTATCATAAAGCTTTGTTGTTAGGTTACCATTAACGTCCTTTTCTAGAAAAATATCTAAATATGAAACAGATGTGTCAGAATCTGTGGTATCTTTTATTTCAAGCTCACTGGGAACTATCGAGTCGGCATATGAATGAAAGTAACTATTGTTAATTGATAAATAAATACGTCGTCAATATATCGAAATGTCGAGTTGAATACCACAGCAAGTGTTTTCTTTTTCTCATGTAGAAGTTTTTGAATAAATTCTGCTTCATATGAATACAAAAATAGGTCTGCCAATAAGGGGGCACAATTGGCACCCATGGCAATTCCAACAGGTTGTTGGAGGACCTGATCTCCAAAAACTACATAGATATATTGTCAATCAGAAACTCAAGATTCTTTTTAATATCATCTTCAGAGTACTTATAGGTACAATCAGAGTGTTTTTTAACAAAATGATTTTGTAAATAACCAATGACAAGGTAAGTATATTTACGAGTTCCATTTTTATTGAAAACGCAGCTGTCTATTTTTTTCCGGCACTTATATTGTGCAGTCTTTTCTCGCTTGTAGTACAGTTAAGTTGTCATATCTTCACTATACTCATAATTTTCATTAATCTTTCGCTTTATGATACAGATATCTTAAAAGAAACACATGATTTTGACTCATTATGTAACTTTAATAAAAATAGAAATAGGTAGTATAAAGGCCAGATCCCAGAATTTTTTCAATTTTTTTTTTAAAATTGAATAATCACAAAACAAAATCGACAACAAACAATAAAAAAAAAAAAACCGAGCAAAACCTATTGAAGGGGGGGGGGGGAGAGCTTCTCATGGACAATCCCCTTTCATGCTCTCATACATATCTTACTAACTTAAGAGAGGCTTCGTGTTATTTTATTTTTTTTGTAGGGACAAGGCAAAGTCATTTTTTGGTTACTTTATAAATATAATGGTATTAATAATTGAAAATCCTGGATCCGCTAACAATAATGCAGTTCTCTTACGGAAGTTGGACTGAGTATCCTTTGCTAGCGAAGATTTTTCAAAACTTGCAAGAAAGAAATTTCATTTAGAGAGATTAAGTGGTAAAATTAATTATACAATTAATGTTAATAATATATGTATAACCAAAACAAACGAAATATAATAGATATTATTTTATCTGTATTCTTAACGGTGAAGATCTATTATATTCAGTTTTCGCAGGCCATCACGTAAACATCGCGCATGATTCTGTATGGATTAACAACAGTATTGACAGCATATTAACTATATTTTAATTCAGAAAAATCTGAACGGTAAATGATATTTAAATGGTTGCATAAAGTACTTATATAACATTATATTCATTCTTAGATTTCTTTGTACGAGATAAAAATACAATCAGTAACAAGATGTGTTTGTGAAACACTATATGAATGGCCGTAGGAACGGGGGGGGCACGGGGGGCCGTGCCCCCCCCCCCCCCAATAATTTTGCCGATATATAGATTACTATAGAAAACATAGTTACTTTATCCTTGTGTCCCCTCAATAAAAACGTCTGATGACCTTTTTTTTTTGCTTGTCAAGGAATGTTTGCTTGATAGTGCCCCCCCCCCAACTGAAATTGCTTCCTACGGGCCTGATATGCCCCCGATGGTAACACAATTCTGGAGTGGGACGTATAGACTACAGTGCAATAGTTATGGCCAATGTTAAAGTTTTTTTCAAATGTAGGTCAAAGGTCACAGTTGAGGTCACATGATCAAAAATTTCTGTACCAATGGAAAGGTCTTGTCATAATGAACACTCATGTCAAATAGTAAAGCTTTACCCATGACAGCGCAATAGTTATGGGCTAGGTTAAAGTTGACAACAGACAGATAGACAGGACAAAAATAATATACCCCTGGGATCTTTCGATCCAGGGGCATAAAAATGCTTGATTTCTACATAAAGCTACTGGTTCATCGATAGGCATGGTCTAAAAAAAAAAATCACGTGCGGGACGGGAGACAGTGTCAGACAGTTGTAATGGTTTGGGTCTTAAGCTTGGATATCGGCCTGGATAGCTCAGTCGGTAGAGCACCTGCATGACTAGTGATGCAGGGTCCCGGGTTCGATTCCCGGTCCAGCCATACATTTTCTCCTTTCCTGTTACAGATTTGGTGCCGTTGACCACCCCTGGACTTGCAGTTGAAAGTTCTGCCAGGGGCTAATAAGAACTTGGGTTGTGTCTTCGAGGGCGAAGACAATTTAAGGAGCGAGGAATGTAATGGTTTCGGTCATGGATATCGGCCTGGATAGCTCAGTCGGTAAAGCACCCGAATAGTGATGCAGGGGTCCCGGGTTCGATTCCTGGTCCAGCCATACATTTCCTCCTTTCCTGTTACACAGTGAAAGAGAAGTAGGCGGGGCTTGGAGCACATGGATTTATGGAATCAAAGAGCATGTAAATATAAGGAATAACTATCAGATTTTTTGGTTTTATGATGATGATCAAACAATTGGCTTGCGTGATAATTTTATGCAAAATCGCCTTCGTCGAATAATTGCTTGATCACATCATAAAACCAAAAAAATAGACAGTTATTCTGTCTATTTGGTGCATTTAAAACTAATAATCCTGGTATGACGTGTAGAAGTGTATCTGTATATTTTAGTATACAATACCCCCATCCCCTCCAAAAAAGTTATTTATTATCATTATTCATTACTTTACCTATTGTTCTGTTTTTCTTCTTACCAACCATTCGGATAAAATAATAATACACACTTTTATGATAAAATATTTATATACATTTGAAGAGCATATTCCAGTGTCCTTCAATATGTACTTATTTTCTTCTACTAAGGAGACTGTATTTAGGATACTACTGACCATGGTTGTAATCTTTTACCAAAGAATGAGTCAATATCACGAGCTTGCAGCTCATCTTTTCATTGACATTTATATGAAAACGCTGTCATTTCCTTACAAACAAAAGAACACATTTTTAAAAAATCTAGACAAAATCGTTTTATTGATACATCAATAAAGAAACGTTTTTTTCTTAATTCAAAATTGAATCACTGTAAAATATCTAGCAGATGAAACATATTACTGAGTTTATAGTTTGTTTGGCGATGTAGCGTTTGCCTCTTCATCTTTTCTTTCCTCTTCCTCTCTATATCCTCCCTTCGTTCTCTGGCTCTCTCTTGTTTTTCTGTAATTGCAAGTTCCCTTTTACCTGAAAAGGAGATCATATATACAATAACTTCAAAATAAATACTGTTTTCATTCTCTCCCTCTTGAAAATATATCATGCACGTGATCACACGCATTTATTCATTATCTATATACATATACATGTACTAAATAATTATAGATAGTAAAAGGTCACTAAGATATTGAACTCAATTGTGGTAACAAATTGTATGTTTCAAGTGATTTCACATTGTTCTCACGTTTTAAAGCAACTTCATCCTCGTCTTCATTTCTCTGAAGTCTCTTATTCATAAGCGATACTATG